AGAAAAAGGGCAAATTTTGAGGTATTTTTCAAACTTTCCAACCACCGAAATGTATTAAATAGTACTGAGAAAGGGAGAAAGAGTACAAAAAGCTTGAAATGCGCTGATACATCTGTATCATGAACAGCACCCCCAGTGTCATGTGGTCTCCAGCCCCCCCCCCCCCCTCAGTTTTTGATTTTACACATGGAGCTATGGGCTCCGTGCACAAGTGCCCCTTCAACGGCCAGAAACGGAGAGTTGGGGGAGGACCTAGACTGGTCCCGGTCCATCCACTGCGTATTTTGAATTACGCAAAGTTATTGGGGGGAGGGAATAGTCTGTGAGAACATCGCAAGTTAAGTTGAACGTATGCGCGCGCCGACGTTGCCTGACGATCATGCGAAGACGCTGCGGCTAATAGCCTTGGCACATTCTGGAAGTGGTGTGGAACTTTGCGCGCGAACCAGTACAGTACAGTACGCACATGCTGTGTTCCGTCCATTGATCTCCAAACGTTCGCTCGTACCCCCCCCCCCCCCCCCCCGCCCTGCAAACAGGACCCTGGGATACTCTGATGAGCTTCACAATATCTTGTGAAGGAAGTGGCCTATGGCCTGTGTATAAAGCACTGGCTGCAGCTGTTTAAGACCGCAGTTAGCCAATGTGCGCAAATGCTATCCGAAAACTTCCCATAGAACTGCACTCGTTCCATACCGGATGTGATTTCTGTTTCCTTGCGGACCATGTGGACAAAATTCTGAGCGTCGCATTATGCCATCCGACTGTTCGTGATTCGAAACGGAGCCTGTGACGGGAATTGTAAATTTACAACACAGATTAGTTTTACAGAACTTCCTACATTATTACGCTTTTCAATGAAAAAAAAATCTCTAAACTGTAACAAAAGAGTAATGAATCAGTCTTAACGGCCTTTTCAAACCTTGCAGAGTCATGACCGTGATGACGCGCAGGTCACAGGTCACACAAAATCCAACCAATCAGAGCGTGAATTCATCAGAGTATTCCAGCGTCCTGTTTGCAGGGCGGGGGGTATGAGCGAACTCCATACGGAGATCAATGGTCCCGTACGTCCATGGTGCTCTCAAAAGTGGTAAAACGCGCCCTCTTGGTTAGAGCACGGAGCCCATACGGAGGCCAAGTGTCCGGAGAACAGAACTTGTCCACATTTCGGCGCGGATGTGCGAGTGCGGTTAACACCACCACCCCCCCCCCCCCGACATCAAAAGCTGGGTACACCACTAGCCTACGGGCCCACTTGGAAGTAGAGCTTCTCCAAACAAGAGCAACTTCCTCCCAAATTAAAAAAAAAAAATTCTTAATGATAAACTTTCCCGAGTGGGGACTCATCATAGTAAAGGCACTTATTAGACTTTAATTTATGTACAATATTTCCACCTTTTCCAAATATACTGATACATTATCGGTTGATTTTTGATACATTATCGGTTGATACAGTATCCGTTCCGAGGTGATACATTATCGGATACAGTTATTTTGTAGTTACATTATCCGTCGACACGTGATACATTATCGGATACAAATTTTACTACACTATCAGTCAATTTTTGCTACATTATCTGTTAGTGATACAATATCAGTCAATTTGTGATACATTATCGGTTGGTGATACATTATCCGTTGGTTACTACATTATCAGTTGTAACACAGCACTTCATTCAAAAAAATTGGTCCTGCCATTTGGGTTTCTTTTTTTTTCACTCACCCTGTGTTCAACAAATTGACGGGAAGTTCGGTTCATACTTCATGCAAATGCGAATCAAATTTGATGTCATGAGACATTCGCTGCAAAATTCGCCCGAGTTGAAACATTTTACTTCACCAACTTTTACGAATTCGCAGCGCAAATACTTCTCGCGTTCGCTTTCGCCTTCGCACCGGGTTTGAACCGACCGTACGGTAGCGCGAATCTCTCCCGTCTTAGGTTCCATCGTCAAAGTGCAAACCAACTGGGCTTGTATGCGATTTCGACACAGGTATATGTTGTTAAATATATGCCTTTTTAATTAAACAGTTTATAGGCCTACAGTTAAATACCAACGATGGTTTATACACGGTTATACACTTTATCATGCAAGACGCGTGCCAAGGTTTACGGACACATTTTGATAGTTAGGGCAAAATGCGCGTTCTGTGCATATCTTATTTACACATTGCACAATTATTAGTGCAACTTATGTTGATCGATGAACCACTTATAGTGTCGATTGACACCGAGGTGTTTTATTGTGCTTAAGCGTCATAAGAAGTATAACAGGCAGACTCGTTGTAACAGGTATACACGAGAAAAGACCCCTTCGGGTTAAGAATTCAGAATAGTTCAACACGGCTTCATCTTTCTGAGCACATCAAAGCAGTCTTTTCTAAAGCGCCTATTGGCGAGTCCGTAGATGAAAGGATTGACGACATTGTTGATGTACACAAACAACGTACAGTTGTACATGACCGACAGCACGTTGGGGTGAACGTCACCACCATTGGACTTGTGAAGAGCGACGGCGACATAAAGCCAGTAGGGTAGCCAGGTGACAAGGAACACAACACTGGTGACAAAGAGCATGCGTGTGGTCTTCCGCTGGAGTGTCATCGTTGTACCGGTAGGTTTGTCTCTGGCCTGGGGATTGGGGGTCCTCGGTTCGCGGTCATCCTCGTGGTTCTGTGATGCCGGGGCAGGGTTCCCCGTTGACGGGATTGCATCGGCGAGATTTCCCGGGGCATCTGTGGGATTTGTCGAGGGTCCGGCTAATTCAGTGGCTGAGACGACAAAGACGGACCTGGGTCCCGACCGGTCAGCTGTCAACGGTTCTTTGCTCGAGGAGGGCAGAGCTTGCGAGATGCTAACCCCCGTGACGACGGAGGCATCGTGTCGTCTGCTCTCGGCTTCAACCGTGACAGCCGTAGACCAACTAGTCCCTGGTCCATGTCGGCTTAGTACATTGACTTTGACGTGTTTCCGTATGGCTTGGTAGACTTTCCCGTAGCAAATCACGGCAGTGAACACAACGGTAAGATAGAGAAGCAACTGGAAGGTCAAGGAGACTTTTTGAGCTGTCACAGAAGGAGATAGCAAATTGATAGTGAATGGAATACACACAGCAGTGGCAGCGACGTACGAACCGAGGAAAATAAGCTTGGCCCAGCGGTGATTCAGCAGCCTCTTGCCCGATCGACAGACGCAGTCGTGTCGCTCTAGAGCGATGGCACCTGTCACAGTAATGGACGCAAGAACATTGACGGCGTCAAAGATCCTGATTGCGGTGAACACGCTTGGGAGTTCTCGCCCAAGGAGGACATAGATGAAGAAACCCAAACTGTAGATGCGACAGACACACACCATGAGATCAACCCAAGCCAGACCCATGATCAACACGTGGGTACTGGTCTTCTGCGGCTTGGACCAGTAGACTTTCAGGATCAAGCTGTTGCCTGATATGCCAACAATCATGACGGTCACGTAGAAGACGAGCTTTAGGATGGCGTTGATGGTCATACCGACATCAGGCCCGGCCGTTAGCGGCCCGTCATCTATCAGGTCCGTGCTCGCTGTTGGTGAGGCAAAGCTTGATGATGCGTTGTCCATACTTGCTTGAGGTCTAAGCTATAAGGCAATGTGATGTGAAGATTCCCGGGGAAATAAATGAACAGCCGTGCTATGTTATAGGGTAAAACGCAAAGCACGGAGCGGACACGAGTGGCTTTACTGTAAGTGCTTTTTTTAGTCGTGTTTGAACAAGCTATGGCACGTCGGCTCATTACGTTGTGTTATAATCACTTCTTCCCCGTTGCTGTTGTATAACAAGTACGGGCTTTGCGAAGGGCGTTGCTCCACGCTGACCTCACGTATCGCGTCGTACGTCGCCGTACAAAGAAAAATCGTCCAGGGTATGTGTTTTCGATGGTTGTACAAGTTGACAATATGTAGCTCTCAGGAGCGCCCTCAGTGCCGAGGGTTCACTATGTTTGCATTTTGCGAAGGGTCAGGCCCAAAGATCTTATAGGGCATATAAGATCATTTGGTCAGGCTTGGCGCTGGCGAGAACAGGCACTGTGAGGGCGGACCCAGAAAACAATTGGGGGGGGGGGCAAAGAGGGCCCACAAATGTACGGCGTGGAATTTTGATGCAATCTGAGGCAATTTCTGACCACTTTAACCATTTTCTTTTTTCGAGCAAAAGATGGTTGGTTTTTTTGAGGGGGCGGGGGGGGGGGGTGGGGCATGGCCCCCATTGCTCCCCCCCCCCCCCGATCCGCCCTTGAGGTCAGGTAGTGTGACGGCAGCACCGCGCGAGGCCGGGCACTACGCAAACATGCCATTGTGCAATGTAGCCTAAAGGACGATGCATCGGGCAGGGCAGGGCGCGACACCACGACGAAAAAAACGGAGCCATGATGTTTCGGTAGTGCCGTGCAGTCTTGTTCTATATTACAAGGGCGTCAATCGCTTCTTTAAAGTGTGTGGGGGACATACCTTGATCAGCACTAATGCGAGCGCGAAACCCTAACGGCGTGGGGTCTGGGACTCGATTAAGGGTCCTGGAAAAGATCATCATTTAAACATTATTTTCGAGTTTGGATTCATTGAATCAGCTATTCTGAGCTTATATTGACTTCAATTTTATTCGGGGATCGACGACAAAGTGGGAGGGGGGGGGACAAACGATATGATATCCTCCCACTTAAAAAAAAAATGGGGGGGGAACTTGTCCCCCCTACCCCCCACCGATTGACGCCCATGTATAATTATCGTAGAGAAGTGACGCAGTAAGTCGTTATTTGAACACCATACAAGGATTCAGTCTGGCTCTGTCGTGCCATCTACGGTACCAATTCACAGACAGACAATACGACAGATCTGGAAGCGCCAGAAAGATTAACTGACACAAATTCTCCATTGTAGTTTCTGGGTTTGTTATCAGTGGGCAGACCAAGTATTGAGAACAGTACAAACTGACCTTCAGAGGTCATATTTAAGCGGGAAATTAGTAACTCATTGCCAAGAAATTTTATTGCAAATAAAATACAAATTTGAGGCACAAAAGGGTACCCCATTTGTTTCATGCACAACTATTTATAGAAAGTATGTATCTGCAACGAAATACTCAACTTTATTTCATAGACCCCTAAATGTGGTAGGCGTATATCAGTACATGTATAGAGTTGTACGTTCACGAACGTGAAAAAAAGTCCAAATTGTAGTTAATAGTTTACACTTGCCGATAGAGGAGTAAGTTATTTTCTAAAATTATAAGAAGCAATCAACATGATATGATAGACATTCACATAATAAATGTAAAGCGATTTGAGATTAACAACTGCACTTTTCCCGATTGCAAAGCGCCTGCCATACCCAACTTTGCTCTTAAAAACAAAGGCATATACAACACTAACAAGCTAAAGGCTTGGCGATTTTCGTCTTTTTTATGTACAAAAAGTTCAAAATAATCTGATATAAGACAATTTAAATCAGATTTTTTTTTTACTTAATTTTTTTTTAACTTTCAACATAATTTTTTATTTAACTTTCAACATATTGATTTGCCAAAGAAAATTGTCTACATTTTCCCACACACCCTAACACCAACCAACAAGGAGTTTTCAGGTCCCTATAACACCCATCATCCATGATTACAATAGACTCTCACACAATAATTATAAAAGGAAATCGAATTGAGATTAACAGCTGCATTGTTCCCGATAGCAAAGCACCTACCATACCTAATTTGCACTAAACAAACAAAGGTATATACAACACTAACCAGGCTCGGCAAATTATAATTTTTTTTTTAATATATTTACAAAATATTCCAAACAATCTGATTTGATGAAAAAAAAAATCTGAATTTTTTTTTTAATATAATTCGGTTTTTTTTACTTTCAAAATACTGAATTGTCTAAAAGTTTTTCTAAATCGTCACACACACTCGTACCCTTACAGCCATCGGCACTGAACAGCAAGGAGTTTCCAGGCTCCGCAAAACTCAATTCAGTATTCAGAAATTTCCGAACAAAAATTAACATTGATAAATGCTTTTGAAAAAAAAATAAATATGCACTGTACCAGTGATTCACAAATAAGCATGACTTCATTTCATTCACTTGTATTTCCTAGTCAATCTCATTGGTACAAGGACACACCAATACTGAAGACACTTTAAAGGTGCATGGCTTGATTGATACGGTCCAGATACATTGTGTGTGGATATGAATGAAAAATATGTCAGTTATGGTACATGGTATGCCAAAAAAAAAAACATGTACCAGTGCAGTTCTCCCTGGGCATGTGTACCGTTTTTCATCAAAATGCTTCGAATTTAAAAACGACATCACCGAGCCTTGTGAAAGAATGTTTGATTGATGGTCCTTCACACAAGGCAGAGAATGTTATCTGATGCAATTCTGCCTTGCACCTTCAAACGTATTACATTTACATAAATTTAAATCTAAATGTTTATGCAGAAAAGTTAGAAGTGAGACTCTCAATTTGGAGCCCTAACAGTCCTGAATCCTCCAATTTTAATACGATTTTGCACACCCCCTAGGGAGTTAGGGTTACACCTTTAGATTGTTTAGGGACGACAACACCAACAAGAAAAACACTTATAGACAGTGGGCCGTGAGATTTGTATCCCTTTAGTTTTTAAGTTTAATGACCACCATTTGGGGTGGGGGTGAAAAATTGATAAAATGGGGCCCAATAACCTTCTAAGCAACATACTTTTTTTCACAGTCGCAAATGTTGCACATTAGCGACAACCGCTGCCCTAAAGTATCAGTTGACACCAAGTGTATGTTATTTTTTTTTAAAAGCCCTACAGTATCCAGTAACATCAAGTGTATGTTATAATTCAAAAATGTTTTTCGACCATTAACAATAACAAAGTATTTTATATTTCAGTTGAAATTTCATTCTGGAAACAATGTTTATTGCTTTTGATGGGAAATCCACATACAAAATGAAATAAAGAAGAAAACAAACAATATAGTTTCCTGTAATAAACATGATGTACATTTGTATTTACACTATTAATTTTATCTTGGGTAATTATGGAAAAGCTACATGTAAGTTGAGTCAATGCTGATGAAGAAGCGGTGTTTGAATGTGTTAACATCATCTTACACTTTGTCAGTAAGTGGCATCAGTTGATATAAATGATTCAAATGACTCTCAGTCAATTTATTTCGCCAAAAATAAGATTTTTTTCAAAAAAGTGATTAAAATCACTGATTAAAAAACAACTGTTTGATTCAAATCACGATGTAAATCAGTGATTTAAATCTATGATTTGAATCAGCCAACCCTGACACTAAGAAAGACACATTTAAGATATTCTGCCACATTTCCCATTACATTTTCGCAACGAGCAAAAGTACCCAGAGGTCGCAGGTTCCAATCCCGCACCAACAAATCAACTAAATATTTCATTGTGTGTAAAATACATAAACATATTTTAAAACTACAAAGCAAACTTTTCATTATTTTCATTAGTTTAATTACCCGAGTAATGATTACTTTAAGTTACACATTTGTAAAAAGTATAGAAAGTCGAACAAAATTCTGTTAGTTCTGTTAGTCTGTACAAAACATGATATTGTGGAACATTAATGCAAACTGACTAAAACCAAACTTAATATATACTGTTAGCGGTTAATATGTTAATCTGGTACTTACCTTGTGTTTAAACGCAGTACATAATTATAATGACTGCATCAACTCTAACTAAGCTCTTCCCTGCTATGCTGACCATTCCAAACAATTCCTGAACACTCAACAACTTTTTTATTCTGAAGAAGAGATATATGAGAGTTTCCAAACTCAACTCCCTCCCTACCCTCTAAATTTTTTTTAAAATATTCAAAACAACTTTGACTTATTTGATTTTAAACAAAGTAGTAAGATTAGACTGGAAACAGTCAAACCTGACTCCCAGCTAAGTATAATATTAAATCAGTCAGCACAACTACTATTTCTGCTCAGCACTAACTGGAAAATCTATTGTGAATGGGAATATCATCAACGGCTCTAAGAATTGGCTTGTGTTTTCCTGTAGTTACAAGATTTCCCTTCAGGTCTCAAGAAATAGAAAATTCACAGGGATGTAATTAGTGGGCTCTGACAGAAAGACTAGGGGAAAAGACTAGGATTGAGTCTGACTTGCTTCGCTGAAATCGGTGGTCTTTGTACCCTTACTGGACAGCGGGATGCCGCCTCGGGTACTGGAATCAAGACCGGTCCCGGACACCGCTCCACGGCGTTGGGCATCCCTCTTGCATGGGAACATTTCCCTCCAGACCTGGTGCACCTCTTTCTGTCTGGCGCAGAACAGGACGAAGATCATCAGCCCCTGTAGAGAGTTGCAGATGGCGAAGAGGACCTGGAAGGCAAAGCTGGCAGCCTGGATGACCGAGAGAAGCCCGAAGACCCAGGTCAGGCCCAGGAGGACCGAGATGGCCACGGCATTCTGGAGCCGGCGCAGCCTCTCCTGCCGGTGGCTCTTGTCCGAGGAACTCCCGATGGTCTTGCGGGCGCAGGTCAGCTTGCGGGTCACCAGCGTAAAAATGACAAAGTTGAAGAGGAGCACCAAGCCAATTGGAAGTATCTGGCCGTAGTAAATGGCATTACCAGGCTTCAGGAAGCAGCTTAAAGGGTTAAAAGGCAAGGGTTAAAGGTTACGCAAGTATTGGTGAAACTTGGATATAAACAAAATCTGGGTCAATGGAAGGTCCTCCCACACTTGGTTTGTGTGCACTGCTCAAAGTGCTTGTGACCAAGTTTTACCTGACTGCCGTGACCACCTAACAAAAAATCAAAATCTAATTGGTCATTATGCACAGCAGTGTGGTTGACGGGCAGGGAGGTTTCATTTAATATGTCAAAAGATTTGGGATTTTACAGGATGCTAACCAAACAGAGTCTCCGACTTGATTTCCACACCTGAGTGAATGTTTTCAAATTTTGGCAAGGCATTAATGAATAAACTACGTAGGACTTACGCAACAAATTTGTTGCGCAGCTTTGCAATAAAGTTGCAATCGATTTAACAAAACATAGTATAGCTAAGCAACGTTTTTAAGAAACTAAACGAGGATAATAACAGCATTTACGATGGCTGTTTGTGTATGATTTTGTTCGATCATGAAACATTCGTTGAATCACCTCAGCCCGCCATTTTGAAAATAATTTCGAATCGTGCAGCAACTCTAAAAGCTTGGTTACGAGTAAAAATAGCAATACATTTACTTCAAACACAAAGCTGTGAGTGTGTTGTATCAACCACGATAAGTTGTGCAATTACAGGCTCCACGAAGATCACAAATTGCTGGTCAAATAAGTCATTTTCAGTCGCTACGCCACAACTTACGTCACTTAAAATGATTGCACAAGTTACGCTTCAATTGGTTGCACAAGTTTTACGCACTATGAAACTTTCGTGAAATTGTCATAACTGACATGTTACACAGTGTGAAATTTTTGCGCAACTTGCGCAATAAATTGTGGCGCAAGTGGAATTATGCTATTTATGCTATTTCGTAAAGTTTCGTGATATCGACTGCCGGACACCGGTAACTTCACGCAAATGTCGTTTTCTACAGTTTTTTTGTGTGGACACTACTTTGGAGAGTTCTGTTGTACAGTGGAAATACATTTTTGTTGTTAAAGATAAGATGATGTTGTAGATTTTCCACAAAATTGTATGTCCAAAATGTTCAGCCCTCCCAAAATGTGTGATTTAGTTGGTAGGTGGGGGAAGGTGGCTAGGTTTGGTATCCAAATGGAGGAATATGAAAGTCAAGTACAAATACTTACTAATTCGGGTGCTCATACTGGGTGTAATCAGCAGCTAGAATAATGACGACAATCACCAATGGAAGACCTGAAAATCACAAGTGTAAAAAACAATATTGGCAAAATAAAACAACTGTTATTTGCACTATTTTGTATCACTTAAAGGACAACAAAAGTAGGAAAATAAATCACAATCAATCTTGCCACGAGTGTTTGCTGGAAAGATGCCATGTTGTAAAGGATCTACAACCTGCAGCTACAGTTCATCCCTTACTGATAATCGTCCAATGCACCAAGATCACATTTATTAGTTCATTATTAACAAAAAACTAGGGACAACGGGACACTGACGTTGACAAACTGGGAGACCGCCAACATATACAGTTTGATAGCTCAGTACTGTATTCCGTAAATCGGAGATTCGAACCCCACTCAAGTTATTCTTTGTTCAGCTAGGAATCTAAACAATGGCAAGTCTTACCCCAGGCTGCGATGGAGGCCTTGAGCAGGAAGTGACTGACGTTGGCGTTGAGCACACGGACAAAGAGAAGATACATATTGGTGGCTTCCACGGCCATCCAGGCAATGGACGCCAAGGTGAAGTAGTGGATCGAAACTGCCACAAAGGTGCAGCCTCCCCGGGAAGCTGTTGCCTCGATACCCACCAAGAACATGAAGTAGAGACCCAGCAGGGCAAAGCACAGGCTGATCAGGATCTGCTGGGGACGCTTAGTCCGAATTTTCCTTGTGACAGATTGAGAAAGGGACAAAACATCTTTCAAATCTAAGAGAGGAAGGTACCATCAGCCGGTACTTATTTGGCTGTACCTGAAATCTCTCATTGAGAACTACTGTCTAAGTCTTCAGCAATTACAACTGCATTTCAACATGCTGAGAATAAACCTAGCCACAGCTCTGGATGCCTGTTTGAGACACGGCTGTTGTGTCTCATTGCTAAGCCAATGTATGACATTGGAGATTTTAAATTCTCACCACAAAAGCGAGCATCGATGAGGGGTCAGCGCAGATTGGAAGATTTGGATATTCCGGTTTTTCAATGGGAATCAACTTCATTTTTCAAATATATCTGACATGCACCAATAGGAAGCTCAAGTTTGTGGAGTCACGATTTGGCTAACTGAAACAGATGAGGTGATGAAGCCCTATTTGTTAACAGAGTGGTATCATTGGCTCCAGGGATGTGAGTGATCCTGTGATTGTGAGCACTTACTTGCTGTACAGATATGTGACCAGAGTGATTATCAGAGCCACCACAGATACGGCACAGCCAATCTTGCTTATGACATCCAAAAAGACGCTGTCCTGTTGCCCATGAATGTCCTAGGAGAAAAAAAAGAACACAATTTCAGCTTGAGCCAAGTCAGCTTGAATTGGGCCAATATCAAACTGAACAGGGGCACCCATTTCATGGCATTGCTTAAAAGTTAGCAGAAAGGTTGTGCTTACTATAGCAGAAAAACTGCGCTAACCTTAGGCACTTTTTCACGGCATGGATGTGCTGATGGTTGCGTGCACATGGAGATTCATATTGTTACGTCACTGATTTATGGAACATGTTTTCCTCCGAGGTTAAGCATGCCTTTTACTGAGCTTACTGGTTACGGTCTCCATGAAATAGACGGAGGCTCTGTTAGCAGAAAATCCTGTTCTTATGGGCAGTGCCATAACATTGTTGCCTTACTATTTCATATAAATTCTGCCTCTGAATTTTTTTCCCCCCTGCACACAGTATAAAACAATGCCTGAATAAATCCCCTTCGTGTGATTGGTGGGTCATGATCACTTGTCACTAAATTGACCTATCACGGTAGAATCGTGCTAGAATCGCGTCATCACAGATAGTGAAACATTGTCCAATTACATGAAATACAAATGGACGCGGAACATGCAAAATCTGAGACAATATTATAAAATAATAAAACTTAGTGTACAATTAAAACTCCATAAGGTTGTCTAAGGGGCGAGGCTAACTCGCAAACAGAGATAGGTCAATTATTTGTCCAAACCAACAGCCCAGCCACACAGCAAAAAGAATAATTTCTTTCGGTGACAGATTAAATATTCGATTCCACAAGATGAACATTCCATCTGTCACCTCATGAAATTACTCTTATCACTGCAATCATAAGCATTCATTACATACAAGTCTCCATGAAGTTGCAAATGGTTCCATACTCAGAACATGTTTCACAATGCCAAGAAATTGGGTCTGATTTTTGTTAACATAGTGCACAATCACTGTAGATGTGAATTGGTTACAGTTTGATCTTTGTGACAAATACTACGGAGATACAAACAGAAAAATATATTTCTTTAAAAAAATTGACGATGCTAAACAAAAACAAAAAATATTGTGAAAAAAATAAAATATAATTTTGTGCCTTGACATCTTTCACAAACATTGTGATGGTGCTTCTGGAAAGTTGAGAAACACCGAGTTCCTCTGACTTATATTTCAACTACCGGTATTCTTCCAAAGCTTTTACCAGAACTCTAATCCATAAATACTGTAAAATGTTGTTTTTATATAAATATATCTGCATGTCCATATTTGTTTCCAACTCAGAAGACAATATTTTACAAACTTGAGATTTCTTTTCACAAAGTTCAAACTTTTTACGAACTTGAGAAAGGAGAGAGGTGTAGGCAGTGTAGCCCCCCCCCCCAATAAAAAACAATCATGCTTTGTGCGGCTAAATCAAGTAATCAAGAGCTCACCACGAACAGCGCCAACTAGTGTTAATGATGTCGATCCGCACAAACTTGCGCCCCCCGCCCCAAAGGTGTCAGATGATATCCAGCCTCAATCCAATTTGGAAATATCCAGCAGTCGATATTTATAAACCAGGGAAGCAGTTTGTCGACTATGTTAGTGTCCAGAATGCTCTCTGTTCAATTTTTTGGTCACCTTAAACCTCCCTGATTCAAATTATTCTGGCAACGCTCCTGTTTCTATTCTTACCACAATAACAGCAAAGCTGGTTAGGTGGTCACACAGACACCGGATGACGCCATTGGGCAGGGATTCGTTCCTGCATCCCTCAGTGGACCAATCGCCGTACCCGTTATTCAGAGTGAAATCCCAGAAAACGCACTCCGCACTGCCGACCGTCTCATTTTCACCGCTCGCCTGAAAGCAATAAAACATCGTCATTTCAGAGAGAAATTAATTCAAGATGATTTTGATTTTTGGGAGAGAAAACGTGGCTCATGTATTTAAGCATCTGTTCATTTTCTTTGTAAGATCCAAACTTGAAAACAGCTTTGCTGCAGTGCCTCTCAAATATATGGCCTATCAAAGCAATTAATTCTGTATAGAGCATGCAAGTCTCGCCAGTCCATGTGAACGTTTTGGTACAAAAGACTGACAAGTCTAGTCATCACAGACCCGTGTTTGAATTTACCCAATTGTTATCTACGTGCTCGGTTGCACGGAAAGTGAGGTCAACATTTGTAATTTGATAACAGTCATCAATTCGAAATATTTTTAATATGTTGTAAAATTGTAACGCCTTCTTTCTTTCAAAATAGTGCTTTATTGCTCTTGACTGGATGGACCTAGTCATGACACACCATAAATGAAAAAATAGGACGTTGCAAACGTTGTAAATTTTGTAAATCAACTTGCTCGCTCCATTCAATAGGTTAACTTACATTGAGCAGACTGAAGACACTTGAAACGGGCATTCGCAGGTTGTCAATTTTTACGCCCTCCACAGTTGCAGCAATGACGCGGCTCCCTACAGCCCGCCTCACTCTGTCCTCGGGCCTCGTCACTTCGTTCAACGTGGGAGAACGAAACAGCCTGCTGTTCTGATACAGGAAGAAACTTATCGGAACTTGTTCACTATCGCCTGGTTTGTAGACAGAAACAAAACAAAAACAAAAAATAAAGTTGTAATTGAGACCACTTCCAAGTTTACTTCACAGACTTATTCATTGGGATTCTGTTTCACTGAAGGAAATTGAAAAGGTTTTGTTGTAAAATTAACACAAGTAGTTCCAAAAAAAGTTGTACAGCTCAAGTGGCTTTCCTTACACATAATTAAATGTTTGAGATCTTCAAATGTTGCTGTCTTCTCTTTTATAATTATGGCAGCCAAGAAAGAAAAAAATAAAGAAAACAACTGAGAATTGATGCAGTGGTAATCTTACTTAATTTAATTCAGACTAGAAAAGTCAGTGGTAGTCTTACTTAATTTAATTCAGATTTGATAAGTGTCTGCTGTTCAAGGGTTGGTACTTGAATTAACTTCCACCTTCCATCTTTTGAGGCAAGGCTAAACAGGGCTCATTGTGTATCGCAGCGTTTGAGTTCACTTATCCATTAACACTTCTGCTGTCTGAACAGTCACAAACAGTCAAACAACAACATTCCTATTCCCCTGCTATGCCTTTATACACAGTGCAGTTGCCAACAGTCAGATCACATTTCTTGTAAAGCACGTGAAACATGACTACTTTTACATAAGTCGCATTTTTTTTCAGCAACCCAAAGTGCTATTTTCATGATTTTTTTCAGTATTTGAAAGAAAAATCTCTCAGCTATAATCTAATACCAAAACATAAAAATCCACCAATCCCTTTTTTTTTTTAAAGGCAAATGTTTAAGGGTTGCATTTTTGTGGGGTTCACCCTACTGTATAGTCAAATTAAATCCATGGACAAAAGCAAGTAACTGGCAGGTTCAGCAGGCTTATCAGTGTCCTACAGTCAAAGCATAGCCGTATCAAGTTCCATAAACAGTCACAGCCACTCAATCCTGCTTTATGTGAACAGGGAGCGGTTAACCATTAAGAACAGTCACTTGACTATTGGAATGGCTTAGTTGACTGTAGGTATCCAGGAGCTGCACATACAGTGGAAGCATAGCACGGTTGGTGCATTTGATATTATAACACCTCACTCACAGATTCTGTGTCACGATTGGCCGAGAGCAAATCACATGATACCTTCTATTTTTGCTATCTTTCTGTGCACGGCCAAAAGTACTATACTTGTAGCAACTTAAGTACTATACCATTAGCAACCAAAGTACTATTTCCACGGCGCGGTATTTGTGTGCAAATGGATGCTGGTGTGCGCCTTGCGCGTAGCGCTTATTGTTCCAAAGAGAGCGCGCCGCAGACTTGGGTTCAAACATATCGTGAAGGGGTAGTTTCGAAGAGAGAAATACATTTTCCATCAATTTTGTATTGAAATTGAAGTTTATTTCAACTGTGTTCAGATTTAATAAAATATTAAAACCAAGCAGAATCTGTAGGTGAAGTGTTATAAAACAAATATTGAATGCTTTATCTCGTGGTGAAGTAAAACTAGCCTCCCTCGGTGATCCATGGACCATTCTATTTTCCCTCGGCTTCGCCTCGGGAAAATAGAATGTCCATGGATCACCTTGGGAGGCTAGTTTTACTACGCCACTCGAAGCATTCAATATTTGTATACTATACCATTAGCAACCAAGTACTATATCCACGGCGCGGTATTTGTGTGCAAAAGCATGTTGGTGTGCACGTTGCGCGTAGCACGTTTTTGTTCCAAAGAGAGCGCGCCGCAGAGTTGGGTTCAAACATTTCGTGAAGGGGTAGTTTGGAAGAGAGAAATACATTTTCCACCAATTTTGCATTAAAATTTAAGTTTATTTCAACTGTGTTCAAATTTAAATAATTTAAAATTTTAAAACCAAGCAGAATCTGTGGGTGAAGTGTTATAAAACAAATATTGAATGCTTTATCTCGTGGTGAAGTAAAACTAGCCTCCCTCGGTGATCCATGGAGCATTCTATTTTACCTCGGCTTTGCCTCAGGAAAATAGAATGTCCATGGATCACCTCGGGAGGCTAGTTTTACTACACCACTCAAAGCAGTCAATATTTGTATATTGTGTGGTCTGACATGATTTTGATTAACAATTTAATCTTCACCTATTGGTGTTCATCAGGCCCCGATTATTTGCAAAGGTAAAAATATAAAAATAATAATCACTTCTCTTTTTGTCTTCTGTATTCACTTCACGTGTCCAAATAGTGTGTTTCCTATTTTGTCACTGTTTGGATGAAATGCAGAATCTGACAAAAGTACATAGAGTACCAAAGTGTGATGTCATTTAGAACCATAAAGTGCAGTGCAATCGAATGGAGTACGCGCGAGTGTTGGTTCACGGGCTGAATCACGCGCTGTCTTTTACACACATTTTTATAGGTGTGATGTATTCACTTCAGTACTCTATAGCACCACTTATATTGATTTGAATAATTACACAAAGTGGAAGATATGCGGGCAACTCAGTTTTTGCTGCATGGGTAGATTGATAACTTTATCAAAACAATGATGATTTTGTTTTTTGTTTTTTACCTGTTTTAGGAATTTTGTCGAGAATTTCAGCAGGAAGGAAAATCGAGGCTTCTGTTTCCATTGGTGGATCTTCTTTGGTGAACACATAGGTCTGATTGTCAGTTAGATCGTTGGTTCCCGGGTCCCCGAGGGAAGACGCAAAGCCCAGGCCATTGGACAGGGCTCGACGGGGAAGGGAGAGGGCCTGGACGGCAACGCTGCTCTGTACCTCGGTGAAGTTACCGGCCCCGCTGTTATGCAACGCTGTGACGAACGACTCCAGGGACAGCACGATGAGAGACGGAGAGTTGTCACGGCTTGCCTCATCCAAGATGGCTTCGTCGTCAATTTGGAGGACGTTGTTGACTATCTCGACGATTTGCACGGCAACCTACCAGACAAAGACACCCAGAAGTTTGATTATTAGTTCAAAGCAGGAGACTGGCTGTAGCAGTAGTTGAGCAGCTTTCCTGCAAGCAGCCTCCACAAAAAATGAGGATGCAGCTGAATTCATAGCACCATTATTATACTATTATTGTGAAGGAAAAATAGAATTAGCTGTTGCAAACTGCTTACCAAACCAAAAGGACCTATGGTATAAATGCAAAAAAATAGTTAGTGGCCTGACGTTTCGACCCTAGCAGAGTCTTTCTCGAAGGCTAAATGACAAGACTATAAACATAAACAGGTACATGTATACATGTACCTGTTTATGTTTATAGTCTTGTCATTCAGCCTTCGAGAAAGACTCTGCTAGGGTCGAAACGTCAGGCCACTAACTATTTTTTTGTATTATTGTGAAGGTCAGATCAACGCTGAGATTTGTTGTCATGATACTTTTGAGCTAATAGAATTTCAAAATGTTTCTCTCATCACACCCTCAATAATAAAAAACCCTAGCTGCTCTACTACAACCACCACCTACAAGTACCTTTCCCTTGAAATGAGAGCTTAGTATTGCCATGAATGAAATTAAAAATTTCAGCTTTTGAAAATTTCAGTAAAAATGCAGCTTTTTTTGGTATGAGAAGGAAAAACCATCACAAGTTTACCCAGGTGGGACCTGAACCCCAAACTTTCTTCCTACAAGTGGACGTGTTTCGCCGCTCGACCAACATTTCTTTCAAGAGTGTTCAGCTGCACCATTAGTTCGGAAGCTTGCGCCAGGGTGATGCAAATATCGTTATAAATATTTGAAATAAACAGAGCAGATTTTCTGCTTTGGAAATGTCAGAGGAATATCCCATCTTGGTGTAAGGCCACACCAACCATTCCAAATGTGCGAGGTGTTTTGCCAAAATGAGATAGAACTGGGCATAGTGGAGAAAAATGCCAAAACATAACAAATGGGTGTGGTTTTCTTTCCTTCTTTCCAATCCCCCCAATTTTCAGATTTATTGTTATTTGTAATCTTTGATAATCTTTGATAGGTCTTCTACACATATTCTAAAGAAATTAAAAATAATGAAATAATTTTTTTTTTTTTATGGAGAAACAATTGGTTTCACAAATACAAAACAGAGCTTTATTGTTTAAGTTTAACCCTAAAAGGGCGCGATAGCCTTAAAAAAAAAAATTTCAGCAACCCGAGCTGTTATGACTTTTTAGCCTCAAGCCTTGCGCATCTTTTAATACCAAAAACATAAAAATCGGACCACGGGTTACCGCGCAGCGACAAATTTTCCAACACGAAAACTGACCATATAAACCATATACGTTGTGTACACACAGCAGAATTACCATTCCTTATTTAATTAATTAGCCATAAATCCAAAATCCTTTGACCTATAGTCATGAAGTTTCTTGGGTATGTTCATGATGAGTTGCTCTATGCATGTACCGAGTTTCAAAATTTTTCGTCACTCGATGGCCGAGATGTTAGGGGGGGCGGAATCTGTGTTTTGCGTGACATCGCGCAGTACACGCGATGCGCACGCCAATGTCCTTATAAGGTAATGAGTTGTGGAGGGCATTCCAGGGGTGTTTCGTAAAACATGAAGTAAAATTGTTGAACAAAATGGTTGGCAATGTCTAGTTTTTGACTTGTTTTGATTTTTGGACTGAAAAAAATTTGGGTTTTTTTGACCAAAAAGGTATTTATGAATGGGAATAAAGATGTGTTCGGTCGGTATTAAACACTCTGTTTAAGACCGGTGGGAGTCTGGATGGGTGATAATTACCCGAGGGCCTCGGAGTGTTATAATACCTCCCAAACACACATTTATTCCCTTACTCGTACACACCAATTCCGAAAAGTCTGTGGAGGCGGACTGGGTGTTGAACTTGAACAAGGCCGCTGTGCACAGCCTGTTGTGGTACAATTTACACTCTGTGGACACACCCCCGAGTGTTAAAAAATATGAGGTTGCGGTAAGAAATATCGTACAAATACTGCTGAAATGACTCTTGCGAATCAGTATTGTGGCGTTTGGCTGTTTACCAAAAGTTGGCTGCTATATTTTGCCTTTTTCAAAAATCTAAATTTTTGGCAAAACAATAATCCTGTCGCCAAGTAATTTCTGCAAAATTGTCACTGCCATTGTGATTGCAACGTTGACCCTAAATGCTTCTCTGGACAATAAGGAAAATTAAATGAATGAACATTCATATACTGGTATAATTTAGTTGTGTAAATGGAATCAGTCTTACCTCTGGGGAAGTGTTGTTGGCATCCACTAGATTCTTCAGAATTCCAGCGACAGACGTTAATGCCATGGGACTGATGGCGCTGGCGTTGGATGTCAGGGATGCTGTCTCTTGGGCTACTTCCTCAGCATTCTCAGAAGTCACTGGCATCTGTGGGATTCAATAGGCAAATTGATGAATTTTAGGGATTTTTCTATCCAAGGTCTAGTCAAGTAAGCAAAGAGCTATTAAAGTTGCTCTCTATTAAAGTTGCTATCTTCAGTTCCATTCCCAGAATTAAATCTAATGGGACATCGAATAATAAAAATCTGCCGAATGGAAAAATTTACTGTACAAATGTTGAATTTTTTGTGGTACGACATTAATTCAGACCTTTCCCTTTATGCATGACAGGCACAAACGCAACATAAAATGAATCAATATCAGGTTTTTCCTGTCACGTAAAATTGTATTTTCAGAGTTTGAAAAATATCCAAAACAGATAAAAAGTGTTAATTGCCCTACCTTGCAGTCTAATCTGTGCCACTGAACCGCGCGCACTAAGAATCAGCCCTTAACTCTTTCGCTATAGCGAGCCGCTGACAGCAGCACACAAAAATTGTACCTGTCGTACGCAGAGATGCCACAGGGTCTGCTTGAAAAAAAAACGGAACTGGGTCTGCTTGAAAAAAAACGGAACGGCTGCTTGAAAAAACGAAACTTTTTTGTGTGCGAAAAAGCCACTCCGTGTCCGACACAAAGTCCCTGTTGTCATCTTTATCTTGTAGCCAAGCCAAGTTCTGTTTATTTTTTAATTTTGCTTCTATGGCCTTTAAAGCTGTCGGTTCGTTCAATCACTTTGACTTTTTCCATATTCTTAACATTTATTCTGCCTACCCGAATTTCCAACGTAATATTTGACACGAAACGTGCATGATTCCACAACACTGCTGTCGGTGTACATGATCCTTGCACTACGCCATGCGCTCAATGGAAACATGGTTGGTACCCGCATTTTTGTATTCACATATATCACTGCGATTGGAAACCACCGATAGCTGAAATGATAGACTTGATTTCCAGGCTGAATGCTATGTGTGCTTAGCACGCAACACGCCCGCACGCAACACGCCCGCACGCAGTGAAGCACGCGCGAGGCGCTGTTGTATACTGCGTGCAAGTACGTTGGCCGCTTGTATCGCATGCAGGCTCGGCAACAACATACACAAAGACTGTTTTTTAGACTACTTCAACGAACAACGTTGTGCCATGCGTGCGCCTAAATGTACTAAATCGAGATAAAAATCAACGCATTTCCACAGTTTTTCTTCTCTTTTTCTGGTTAATTTGACGGCCGGAAAAACTGGAATTTTGTTAGATTTTTTTAAAAACCGGAATTCCGGTAAAAACCGGAAAAGTGGCATCTCTGCATACGGCAAGCCGCTGGCAGCGGCTCGGTGATGTCGCTGTGAATAAACAGGGGTATCCCCATGACGTATGCCTTATTTACATAATTTATATTGTATAACCTCTGACCCTAGTTTGAGCCGCTGCCAACGGCTCTCCGTCTCGCCGGGGTGCGCTGCAGGTTATTGTGAGCAGTTTGTTTACAGAGACATTTAAAGATGGCGGCATCCACATCGACACACCGCGGAATTTCCAGCGATTTATTATGTACAAACGTGAAAAAATCGGGAAATTAAATTCAGTAGCGAAAGAGTTACGGGAGATTTCAAAATATGAGGACTGCTTACATTTGCAAGCTCATCAAGGTTTTCAGTGACGTCTCCCTCGAAGCATTTGAGAATGACCGGCTCCTTCCACTGCGGTTGAGATGTGAAGTCACCGACGCAGTCTCTAGTGGCACGGGGCATTCCCGCTAGGAGGAATCAGAACATAAAAACAATTACAGTGCTTTGTACACAAGAAAATTCCTCCTCTGAGTACAGTGTTTGTTCCACAGGCCATGAGTCATCGAAACCAAGATTCCCACAGTCCTTCCAACGCTTTAAGTGCATACAGTTTTCTTATTCAATATCAAAGCTACGTCTCATATACTTATTTCAATTAGCAGTTTGGGAATATTACATTATCAATTTTTTTTATTTCGATAAAACTAATTTGAATACAACAGCTAGCTTACTTATTCTTACTGTTCACATATATTTTTTTGAAGTTGGTCTTTCACACATGATTGTAGATTTAATACCCATCAAGCAAGATTCAAGTAAATTTCACTGACAAGTGACAATCAAGGAGGTTTAAGTATCTACCTCGGGTTGTGAAATGGGGGCAGAGGTTCAGCGATTGCGCCGTCTGTCCAAGTCTGGTTTGTGGGAACGTCAGATTTCCTTCAAGGTATACCTCTTGCAGGCAAGACACTGCAAAAACAATAGAACTAGATGTATAAATAATACACTTTATTTACTCTGATGGAGACGTCGTTAATATTAGTGTTTTAAGAATGCAGCCTGCCGAACTATTTCCGTGTGAAGGTTCTACATTTGATAGGTATACAGCAAACGTACAAACTCACAATTTTGTTGACGTTTATACCCACCTAAATTGACAACATTGATGCTCTCAGATTCCACCATGAGCTCAGATGTTTCTGGTCTTTCCTGGATCGCTGCTGTCAACCGCTCCTGGAGTGCTAAATCTCCAGTGGGCTCGGTCAAAGTGCACGGCCCTTCGCATTCCCCTCTGAATCTAAATCGGCGAAAGAAAACCACAACTTCGGCGACGATACTGCCCCTCCTGAACGCAAGAATTTCAAACTCGATGCCGTATTCCCTGCCCATTTCTTCTTGCAGGTTTCCGGTAACAGGATACCAAAACTGTGTCGAAGGAAAAATTGAGGGTAAAGATGGTGAAAGAAAAGACTGGGGGCACCAAAATGCATTGTTCAGAAATACAAACAAACTATTAGTAAACAGCTATTCCCGAGAACTAAAAAAAACCTGAAAATACAGGGCAAGTCACACAAAAAAAGGACACCCTAATGGCAGGGCAAAATATTTTCTGATTATCTGCGTATAGCACTTTCAAAATCTAGGATATGAAAGCCCAATTATTATGCTTTCTTTTAGTACAAGAATCATTTAAAGCACTCATGTACTTTTGAAGTTACAGAATTTTAAACACAACCACCATTTTCAAGTTCTGCCCACAGATTACAAGAAAGCTACTTCTCACTTTCCTTGCTCATCCCTTCTCCATAAAAACATACACATGTATGTCCAACAAACTAAACTGTAAGACGCAAATCTGCACAAGCTAGGCTTGTGCGGTTTTGGAATTTGAGAGTCCATCCCCGTATACCGTCACAAAAATAAAGCGATATTCGGTAATATCGAGTACTTTTCTGTGTAGACTATTGGCTGTCAAAATACAATAAGACACGTGGTGTTAGGGAAACTGCAAACATGCAGCATGGGCAGAACTCCACAGGCCCTGCTGGATGACTAGTAAGCACAATTTGCACCTTATCTAGATACCGTGCCCACAAGAAGTATAAACACGAAGATCTGGCCAATTAAATTCTGTCGTTTTTGCTGATGTGTTTGATATCCTGTATCTTAAATACAGAGTAACCGTTTCACTCTCTGATCGTGATTTTGCCTCTAAAAGTGTTTTTTTTTTTTTTATCTGTAGAAGTGTTCATCAGTTCAAGAAATGCGTATTCAAAATATTATATGGGTAATTTAAAACGTATTTGACAAGCTGCCTTTACGAGTTTGTTTTGGGACAAAACACATCACATGTTTGTAGAACTTATTCTCTCATGCCTCTTTTATTTATAAAATGCCGAAGTGATTCGTTAGAAAAATATACAGCCCACAAAATGAGTGAACGTACACTTCGTTCCAGTTCCGATTGGAGGTTCCTAAAGTCTTCGCTGTCTGTAACTGCCAAGTCCTCCGTGTAGGTAGGGTTGAGTAGCTTCATTGTCACCTTGAAAGTTGTTACTTCTGCAGCATGGATAGATTAATATTGGAATGTACAAATGCATTTCATCTTAGAAACAACATGGTAGAAAGGGAATTCCCCTGTAGTATTAGCTATAAGTGTTAAGTAAGGTCAGCTAAAATATTCTTGGCAAACCTCAAAATTATGTTCGACTTTGAAGAAGTTCTGAGTTTTTATTTTTTAAAAGAAACTGTTTTTCTTTTGTTTAGTTCGCCACACCAAGATTATGCCATTTTGTTCGGTTTGGTATTCAATGCAATATCTGTAAAGTAAGAACTCTCATCCCCTTTGTTAGTGGTCAGTAATTCGTAAACTATCAGAAATGTCTGCCTGGACAGTTTATTTCCCGCCAATCTGAACCAAGAAATAACAGAACAAGATAAGATAACCAGTTAAAAAAGTCTTCCAGTACTGTTTGTTATATTCTGACCTGTTAGAGTCAACGTTGCGGGTTCCGTCCGCACTTTGGGCACGTTCTCGTTCTCAAGAGATTTGCCCGGGATGCCCTCACAGACGTAAGCGCCTTGGTCTCGGGATTGTAAAAAACCCTGGAACACCAGCTGGTTCCCGGTCCGGATGAAAGTCTCAGAAGGGGCTGGTGCCGTCTTGTACCACCGATACTCCACTGCATTCTCAATGTAGCAGTCAAAGGTAACCGTTGCAGGCTCCTCCTCCCCAATGCCCGTCACATCGGCTGATGAGGGAGACACTACAATCTGGGGATCTGTCACACACCGGTTTGGAAGAATCAAGAGAAAATCCTGAGTGAAATGATTGGAAAGGCAAGTGAAAGCACTTGGGCACAAACTTTAACGGTTTTTTTATTTAAATAAAAAAACTACGGTAGATAGGTGCAATTCTGCAGAATTATAAACCTCAATGTTACAACTCCAAGAGCCATCATTCCTTGCTCACTTTGTTGAGATGCCCTTGTTAGACTTACCAGCCACAGAGATATTTCTGCAGATTCTGAAGGCTTCGTGAAGTGACCGGTTACTGCGGTCAGTGTCGCAGCCTGCCTGGTCGTAGCGCTGCAGTTCGTTTGACCATGGGGCTACGAGATCATCTGTGCAGGCCGGACTGGTGCTTTTTGAGCAGTTTAGTGCCACTGCTAGTGGCGGTTGACCAATTTCCTCCCCTCTTCTCCCACCATAGCGTCGCAAATTGGGAACAGAGAAAAAAACGGCCCATCCGAAGCTAGCGTTGGCCCGAAGCGGGGGCGTCAGGTCAAATTTCAGGATGGTCGCGGGATCGTTGGGAACGTACATCGAGTCGTATTGCCGTCTGTACATTTCAAGGACTGGTCTACGGGCTCCTCGTCGTTTACGTTGAGGCAACGAGTAATCAGGACTCATTTCCAGAACAACGGATACGACATCGGGTACAGCATCCTTCCCGTATTGGTTGACAAGTTCTCCACGCAGCACTGATGAGGAAACTGTGATCTGGAAAATGAACACTTCCGTCATCCAATCCGTTAAGAAATAGGCATATCTTCCATAGCCCATTCTTTTGGAGAGGGAAAAACAACCAGATTCATCTGTGGAGAATTGGCGAAGCTCTGCAGATAGACTTGCGCATTCACCAGCTGTGAACGAAAAAATGTTGTTGTTTTTATTTAGCGTTTAAATTTAATGAGATGGTATAAGGCCCTGGCAATCAAAGATGGATCCCGATGAAAAATATCTACTTTAAGTCAGTGACTGATCTTAGTTAAGTTCAAGAGAAAGGCATGAAACATTACTAAACCGTAAACAATTACTTTAGCAATCGTTTGCAAAGTATTGGATCCACGCCGACACAACCAAGAACTTTTACCTGCATACTAAAAGCACTAGTGTATTACCGTTGTTGCTCCAATGTACCTCCAAATGACCCCCAATCCCCTATCAACACAAGGCACGCCTAGTAAGGGTGGTTAAGGCAAAGCACGCAACAAGCTCTTCAATTGAGCCATAATGGCTCCAAAAAAAGTTTGAAGAATAAGCTGTAGTAGTAATGTGATGGAAACAAAAACGCCACTTATGCTATTCGCATGGTGACTTGAATAATGGCCTACACATGTATCATGAACGTATCTGGCACAAAAACAACCTTTAGTTTTTACAGTAATAATCCTTGTTTGGACATTTCTTGGTGAACAAAAGAATCCGAAAATATACGTTTTGTAAAGGAAACTTCCGGCTTAATTTGATACCTCATTTGGGAACATCGTAATTGAATGCAGGGCCTGCATCACTGCCTTCGATTGTGTGTTGCAATGCACATTGAAAATCTTGTTAAGTGCAACTTTTAGTTTTGGGGTCTTAGGAGCTTCAGCGCTTGCGCTCTCGTTACTTCTCACACAGTGTTCCCAAGTGAGGTATCAAATTGAACCAAAAAGTTTCTGTGACAAAATGAATGAATTTTTTCGAAATGTTTTGTTTGATTATAAATGATGATTATAAGTACTGCTTAGTTTCTTTCTGTGTCAGGTGTACATGAAACAAGCGGGCCGAGCTCGACTAATGCACATGTCATTTTTGTAAAAATTGCTTCATCACTTCCATAATAAGCAATTAAACCTTGTAAAGTCAGGCCATTTAATAGTCAGTTAGCCTACAAAGAGTAAACTAGGCTGGACATCTACGACAGACAGAATCAAAGGAGAACAACTTACCTATTGGAGAAACAGTTGTAACAGTCTCATGCATGACAGCTCGCTTAGTGTAACGATCCAGGAAACATTGAAAGCTGCAGGGGAAAGAAGGTGTACAAAGATGACTTTACTTTCAGTAAGAAGGCAAAAACTACAGAAGGTGCAAACAATATTCAGATATAAAACAAACAAACAAACAAGCAAACAGCCATCCATGATTTTTGATTGTGTGGAAATGTATTGAATTTGGGGAAAATAAGTATGGCGGAATGAGGGGAAAAAAATACAATTTTTTGACCATTTGTGATGCGATAAAGCTCAATGCGTCGTTTGTTGGGAAACATGCCAAAATTGGGCCACTTCATCACATCACTTCATCATATCTCTTGGTGTTCCCTCTTCCATAATTTTTTGTTTTTAACCCAAAAAGGCATCAGCATGCGGTTTTTACAGCAGTAATGCTGAAATTGTGCTCTTTTCAAATCTGTAATAAAAATTGTTTGACCAGGTTCCACAAACGACTCATTTAGCTTGATCGCGTCACATTTATTGGATTTGTTAAAACAATGCAAATATGCTTTTTATAATAAGTTAACTCATGCTGCAAGTGATGACTCATAAATTGATTGTGCTAAAATTGTTTTTTTTTACCAGAGTACATTTTCAATCCCTTGCTTGAGCTGTTTGGTAAAACTGACAAATGAAAGTTTTCGGATGGAGAGCGAAAAATGATAGAAATGTACAAATATAAAAAGACTGACTATAAAAAGTTTTTAGTTTTTTTTAAATACACGAACGATTTTACAAGCTCCAATGAGTAATGTAACTTTACCTTTGTGGTGTGGATTCTACAGAAACCCGAAGTACTGCAGAACCATTTCCCCTGACTTGAACGACATCATTAACGTCATACCACTCGACTACCGGTTGAACAAGGCCGGTTCCCACGCAGACCAGGGACACTGACTCTCCTACGGCCGCTGTCTGGTCAGGACTGACATATTGGAATTCAGCCGGGGCTGTGGAAAGAACAAGCTAAAGCCGTGTCCGCACTGGACTTTTTTTTTTGAAGGTTTTACCGAGACGATGGTAAAATGAAAAATGGTCAAATGTGACCACTGTCCGCATTTGGACTTTCGACACGGGAAATTTTACCCCGACCGCGTGGGAGAAGTAACCGAGCTGTCACAGTGTCAGTATAATGACTCACCGTACGCAGAAAACAAATTGCCGATCACATTTTCAGCCACCGATACGCTCAGTAATATTACACACGCCGTTTGCATGCATAACATAATCGTTTACACGATATTATTTCATCTTGACACGCTAAATCTTGACGAAAGGGCCTATAATTCTGACGCATTTGTGATGCACGTCGTCGAAGCCATGCCGCTGTACGATGTTCCGTGCGGCAGCAGTGCCATCAGTATTCGTTGGTTCCCATCGCATGCTTACAGAATCGAAGCTATGATGTGGGCCAGGAACCAGTGACTACGGCCTACGTACGGTACCGGACCATGATGTTCCGTGCATGACTACAGTAGCGTATCAGGACGAATTTGGATCGTAGAAAATAACAATACATCGGTGGAGAAAGAGAATTTCCGCAAATTAATTCTCAGAATGTGATCTCTCTTCTCTGTATATGTATTTGTCCGTTGAAATATATATTTTAACGAGATTTTACCGCTCGGACTTGATAATACACCGCAGCGTGTTTCTACAAAATGTTCGGCCACTGCAGGTGCAGGTTCGTGCGGTCTCTGTATGCATAACAGGGCGCTTGGGCCGGATGTACGCTTTCCTGAGCCGCTTTTACCGACTCGCACTGTCCGCACTGGACTAATCGTCTCGGGAAAAGCGACTCGGTCAGTTTTCCTGGGCGCGTGGGAAGTTTTCCTGGGCAGCAGTTGGCCAGTAAAAGTAACCGCTGGACTCAGGAAAAGTAACTGAGAGGAAAACGTCCTAGGCTGTCCGCACTGGACTTAAAATGGGAAAAGTACCCATAGTCTCGGTTAGTTTGACCAAAAAAAGTCCAGTGCGGACAGGGCTTAAGCTGATTCAGCAATGACCTACAATGACTCACTTTTTTTTAATTAAAAAAACAAAATGGACAAAAAAAGTATTCACTCAATTTCTCAGAAGATTGTGACACTTTGTATTGTCTTTAAACGAACTTGAATCCTTATTCGGTTGATCCATGTCAACAGTGTGATATAGTACCTAACACCATGGCCCATACCGCACTCTGCGTATCTCACTATTCTACATATTCTAAGATGCGTGTGCAATTTCTATAGTGTACAAGGACAACCCCTGGAAAGTTGTGTACAGTGTACATTATCCATCTTTACTGTTTGCTTGAAGATATGTTGTTATCCCACTAGCGCTCGTGATCACATCTATCATGCGTCTGTGTTTCATATGTTATTCAGCCTGATACTTTTGAGGTGTTATATATTATTCCAGAAGATGAAGGTAATACTAGTTTAATTTTTTAGGTTTTGTGATAATTCCTTGTGTAGTTTTGTAATTCTTTTGTTTTAAAGAATTCGTTTTTATCATGCTCAAATTCTGACATTGTTTTTTTTTTTGGGGGGGGGGGAACAGGTGGACTTCACTGACTCGAATCCAACAATATCAATTATGATCAATCATTTTTATAGAGATTTTAGTATGACTTCAGTATTTCAGAGTTTCTCTCACAAAAGTTTTCAGGAAATAATTTCTGTTTGCCTCATCAAACTTAATGTTGAAGGTTTTATTTTTAGCTTGGTACCGACTTTTTAATACAAAAATACAAAAGACCCCTTTTTGGCCAGGAGGGAAAATTGAGGTGAAGCGCAGCCCTAGCGAGCGCGATTCACGGTGCATAGCAAAAGTCTAGTGCTGCGCTGCACATCAATTACGCCCCGTGCCGAAGATGGCGGCAATATCCGTGAGCCTGTCCACTGTCGGGACCATCATGAAATGATAAATTAACACGACTTACACAAGCAAGGTTTAACGATTTCTTCTATGGCTGTGTCGTGGTTTTCCATCATGCAAGACAAATATCCAGGAAGGGGAGGTGGTCGAAGGAATTGCGACATGTCTGATCCGTCAGGTGCCTGTACTCCTTTCCACCACTGGTACGCTCGGAGACAAGTGTCTGACACCTCGCAATCAGCAGCCAGGGTTCTAAACTGAATGGACAGACAGTCTGTGCACCTGCTCTGAATGGGCCGAGGATCATAACACGGGTACCATCTGTTCTCCACGTAACCCACCGTTATCGCGATGATATCACCGGGCTGGACGGAATGCGGGACTTGGAGGGTGACCTCTGCCGTTTCTGGAGTGGTCAGTCCAGGGTAGACCTGCCAAAATTGATTACAAAGATGCACTGTCTATGCTAACTTTATTTCCACACTAACGGGGTACCATTGACTGGAAATGTGGGATTTGAGAGGGGGACACTGGAGGGTACGGCAAAGCAAGATATTTTGTTGTTGTTTCCTGTGCATTCCTGAGTCCTTGATGATCATGCGCACAAACAAGGACTTTCTCTGTACTTTAGAAATTGCAGGGGTCATCGTATAATTACGTGCGTAACAAAGACGGAATTTTTGCTACAAATTGACAGGACACTAATTATCATGTGCATGAATTGACCCAAATGTCATCTCATTCATATTCATAGCCCATTTAGGAGCACTATCAGCCACAGTAAACACAATTTTGTTGGTCTTCAAGACACTTACTGGTACAGGTAATGTACACGTACACATCGTGGACAGAAATGTTGTGACAAGTTTCTGTCCATGTTGCGTACGTAATATTCTGAACATAATATGACATCTGAAATATAAGGTACATTGTCTTGGTTTTTCAATATTTGATGATACATTTATTGTAATCATAACTTTCTATCAATATTAACCAACTTTCTGTCCATGTTACATACGTAGCATTCTGGACATACATATGTTTCAGAGCAGGTGTATAGTCTATTTATTGCAGTGCACAGCAAGAAAATTAAAAATAGCAACTGCCACAGAGATCACTCTTGGCCAATTTAGATACAGAATCTGTGGGTGAAGTGTAATTATGATATTTATATGGATCTACTGTTAATACACACAATCAACTGGGCCATTGTAAATAAAATCAATGTGATTTTTTTTGGTCTTAGCACAGAGAAGGTCACACATTGATGAAGGTTCTCCTCTTTTGAAATCCAGGTAATACATTTCTGCTAAGGCCAAAAAAAAAAAGTCTCCGGTTTCTGGTATGCGCGCGCGTCGCCGTAGCCATGCGCGTCGGCAAAATGAAAAAGTTTTTTTTCAATACAAGATGGTGTTTCAAAACCGCCAAACTCACTGGTTTGACTGGAATTCTGCTGCTGCACAATTTTAACGTGTTTTTAGATGGGGTTATGATCGAGAATAAGATTTATGTGGCCTCTCTGGACTCCCATATATTTGCACTAAGTTTAGTCGGGCACCATTTGCAGTCATCTGCCGACATTTGAAGCCAAAAAAAAAAAAAAAAACAGGTAAAAAAAACAAAAAAGCCGTGTCGCCGCACCACTTTTGGGGCAAGCTCCATACCAGAAACCGGAGACTTTTTTTTTTTGGCCTAAGGGCTGATATTACACACATTAAAGATGTAATTGATAAAAATATTGGTCAAAACATACCCAAAAGTTTTCTACAGATTTCCTTAAGGGTGTGGATATGTCCACAAAGATGAAGACACCCCGTCTATTGCCAGTTATTTCCGGTGAATACAACTCATCAAATTGGCCCCACGCAACGCGTACCTGTTGGATATTAACAAATTTGTCATCACTCAAAAGAGGAAAGAAAATTGTGAAAAATATAATTGTAATTAAAATAATAATTGTTCAAATCTACTTTTTGTCTTACTAAGCATTTCTGTCAAACCGGATGTACATCCGCCACGATAAACATGTAAACCGTGCAGTCTGTGTCATGGTCGGGTCGCTGCCGACTACTAGCATTTCTAGTTCATGCTTAAAGCGAGAATATACAACATTTGCTTTTGCTGTAAAATTTCAGAAATGGATGGATTTGGGGGTTAGTATTTTATAGCAAATATTGTTACACTGACTTGTTTGAAGTTTTGGTTCATAGATGCTGGAAAAACCAAGAAAAATAACCATGTTATCGTAGTCTGGTTCCCTGACCCCACTTAAATTGAAACGGAACAATGTATAGACGTCGGCGAATTGTAAGGTCAGGGAACCAATCTAGCTGGCTTGTACCCCTTCATAGATGTGTAATCGATTGCAAACAGAATGCCGACTTACTAAATATGGTCAATTTGGCGCAGGATTTGATGGAAAAAAAACAGGTTTTTTCCAACGCTGGTAGGGACCAGCGTTGGAAACTGATACAAAAATACCACTTTTCTTGAAAATGTCAGCACTCCAGGTGCCAGGATTTTACAGGATGCTTTTAGCTAGATTGTCATTCACTAACAGTCCAGTAAGGTATTTCATAATAATTTGGTAGTTTTGTTTTCTGATGTTTGCAAATGTTGTATATTCCCTTTAAATGATGATGAGATAATTAAGCTCTGCCAAATCAAGCAGCTGAAATAGTATTTTACTCATTACTCAACAACGAACTGCTGAGTCGTTGAAGAGGACGGGGATATTCAGGTAACAGTTCAAACGGGGATCACAAAATCAACAAGACAAGGTTAATCTAGTAAAGCTGTGCCCAGAGTCCACAACATTCTATTCAATTTTTTTCTAAATGACTATTAACCCTATTCCGCCCTGAATCCGAAGTGGAGCAATTTGTCCTCTCAGGGACAAGCAAAGATCGGTCAAAGAGAATTACCTAGGTACATTAAAAAACTTTGCTCAAAGAGTTTCATTTTGTAACCATTTTGTAACCATTTTGAAATATGTTCAATGTTATGAACGGTGGGTTTTTTCGGGGGGGGGGGGGGGCTTTGGTTCTGAAAGCCATTCTATAGGCACCAGTCTAGACCAAAGAGATTAAAAAGAAACTCACCGCAGTTAGATGAATTGAATCCTGACTGATCGCTGGCACCGCAAATCTAGAAACGAAACCGATGTCGCCTTCTGGGTAATCCGTTGCCATGGCATCTTGCCACTCGTGGGAGTCTGTGCAGGAATCCAGCAGGCCCACATCCCCACAGATCTTATCTATTTAAGAAGATTCAAAGAGAAGAGGACATGCCAAGTGCCAAGGATTGTAAATGGCAGACCTACAGCTTTTCCTTTTGTCTGCTGTAACTGCATGACTCATATACAAGCTGTGTTTGTTAAAGTTTTGCTTTGCCATAAAGATATAGTCCATCATTTGTAATTTGTGCATTTTGTACGTTTGAAGCAACAAAAGTGTTCAAAATCTAATGAAGGATACTGAACAACTAACCTGATGAAGTTTCACCTCAGCTTCAGCTGTATATTCTGAGAAAAACAGCATTCTAGGATCTCAATTTCAAATCAGAAGTTGCTGAATCATGTTTTGAATTATTTAGAATTGCAGCTATATGCGATATCGCGCAGACGAATTATAGCAACCGCTCGCGCGTGTGCGTCGTGCCAATGCTTGCGCGCGCTTCGCCGAATAACAAAACGAGCTACTAATTTAAATTTCCTACGGTGCGTCTTAAGACGCACCGTTGGAAAGGCCTTCTTTCGTTGATTACTTCAAAATGACAGCTTGCCAGAAAGAATCATTTCAAAGGGAGTTTAGTCCACTTACTATCTTTCAACCAAGTATGGTTTTTCAACAATAATTACGCCAGTTACTTTTCTGATGACTGCAAATGAAAGACTATAGCTTTAAATCCAGTCCTACCTTCACAGTTGGCACCGGAGAAGCCTTGACTTTCCTCGTAACTTGTACTTTCTGAATATCCGCTCCCCTCAGACTCGCAAAGAGACAACGTTGACGTTGGTTTGCAAACATCGCCGGTAGTCTGTGATCCACCGTCGCACAGGGTGTGATCAGGATTGCCACATTCTGTATGTTAATTGGACGGGAGAGATTAATAGGCAAAAACATTAGGGGATGATTATGATGATTGATTGATGAATAATTAGGGGATTAAATGGTTAATGCTCATTTAAGGTTAAGATATAGGAAAAACGAAAATCCATGAAATGATCGTCAGAGGGTTTGCGGGTCGCCAAGAGCTACATAGGGTCTATGGTATATGTTTGTAGTTGACTTACACATGTATAGGCAATCCTTACAATACTCAATCCTTTTGTTCTACATAAACTTTTTTTATAGGTAAAAAAAAAAAATTTATGGTAGAACCTCTGGAACTCCAAATTTCAAAAGAGATTCAAAAATCCTAAAAATCAAAAAAATCCGGACCAATAAACACCTGAAATCAGTAGAAAAATCTTGAAAAATCTTTCCCCTGTCGTTAGAACAGGTGACCATGATACACTCTTGATTGAGATGAAGATGAGGTTTTTAGCAAGCCACTTTATTGGTTCATAGTCATACAAATTTACCCTGCTCAAAACTAAAGTACCTGAACAGCGGCACATTACACGACAGCACTATATTGGTGGATATGGGGGAGGAAGGGGGGGGGGGGCGCTACATTTGAAACACTCTACCATACTCACGTGGAATGATGGTGAGATTGAAAGCGCACTTTGCAGTGTTCCTTGGATTGGACACGTCAGTAAATGTATACACAACTGGGGTGACACCAACATCGAAATATCTCTCATAGCCAGGCACCCGTGTTTCATATGTCCTCGGTCCCTCGGCTCTAGGACTTATTATCCCCAATCGGTTGCCTGGCGTTCCTCGGATGTATTCAACGCTCAAATTGAAGCCCGCCACTGGGCAGTTTGTCACAGTGATAGGCTCAACATACTCTGCACGAAGTTAGAGAACAGAAAAAAGAGTTACAGAGTTGCTACATTTACAGGGTAAAAAAATACGAAACCCCAATGTCGGGACCATTATTGTAGTGAAGTGCTGCATGTAGCACTTTCAAAATCTAGGATATAAAAGCCCAATTCATAAGCTTTCATTTAGTACAAGCATCATTCAAATCACTTAAGAACTTTTCAAATTAGGGAATTTTAAACACAAACATTGTTTTAAAGTTCTGAGAATTGTTTTCGTTTTGCTGAAAGAACACTTACCTTTGTTGTGATCCGTGGACAGAACTTTAAAACGGTGGTTGTGTTTAAAATTCCGTAACTTAAAAGGTATATGATTGATTTAAATGATTCTTGTACTAAAAAAAAAAGCTTATGAATTGGGCTTTCATATCCTAGATTTTAAGTGCTACATGCAGAACTTCACTAAAAAAGTGGTCCGACATTTGGGTTTCACTTTTTTGACTCACCTTGTAGTTCGTGCTTTGGCTCACACTTGTGCCAATCAGTTCTCAATCCATTATGCCTAAAAGTAAAAGGTCGAACCGAAAGCTTCTAGGGCCCTCGCATGACCTGCCTTTGGGAATTTTACATTGAGGACAAAATCACTTGACAGTGGTTAAAATGAATTCCATTTCTGACCTTTCACATCGGGCATTGTTTGTAATGTTGTTCCTTGGTCTGCTTACACTGTGCACTTTTGTTTTCATTTTGTCTCCTAGGCGTGAGAAAGAGAATGTATAAAGTTGCAGCGATTTTACCTGCAGCCGATGTGTTGGCCTGAACAAATCAAGGGTGCAATCATATGAACAGTCGCCTTTATCCTTTTCTTAAATACTAAGGTCTTTAAGTTTATTCACACAAATTTGAAAACCTTAAAAGACATCTTGGTCTTCTACTTCAGTTTCAATTGTCACTTCTTGACCACCACGTACACGTATTTCAGGACATCTCATCTAGTACAGCAGTATGGGCTTCGTGTGCCAACGAAAGAGGGCACCCTTTTACCTAGCAACGACGTCCCATGGGTGGGACATTTAGCTGGTTGATGCGCACCGTTCCTTGTGTGTGACGCACGTACACCAGGGGATTTGTACTATGTACACGCAGTGGTACGGCCGCGCGTCGCGGCAAAATTGCAGTCAGGCAAGATGGCGTCGGTCGGTCACCCCTAACTGTTCCTTCTTTGCCAGTGAGGGGGTACTTGTGAACGGAGCTGATAGGGGTGTGTATGGGTAAGTGGTACCAGTCTGCATGTATTTTAGAATTGTTTTTTTGAAGGGGGGGGGGGTTGAAGCTACTCCCCTCCTCTTCTCCTCAGGGCCCCTCCCCACCCCCTCCCAATTTCCCTCCCCCACCCCAATTTCAATAGGCTATGTCTTGGTCCTTCCTAGCTAGCCCCCATGGCTTCAAACATTGTGGTTACAATTTACCTTCTTCCACTGTGATTCTGAAGGAGCATCTTCCAACGTTGCCTGCCAAATCCTCAAACTCGTAGGTGACCACGGTTGTTCCAAGGGGGAAAATCTGACCGGATCGATGGCTCTGATTCCTCAGACGGACGCCCTCTGAGTCGTCCGATGCTTCAGGCTCTTCCCAACTTGTCGGCCGCCCTTCCGCGCCCTGGGGGGCCACTCCTGTGATGTTATCTGGGCAGATTACTATAGGCAGAACATCATCTGCAGAGTCGCAAAAATACCAGTAGATTATGAAAATTCAATATTGAACATTACTTAGATCTTTCTTTCTGAGTTTCGCCTCGAGCTTTAGGAGCCTTAAAGTTCACCAACGACAAGCCTGGTGGTGGCACACTTCTAGAACTGAAATAGGCAAATTAACGTGCAAACTTCTCAAATTTGCAATCAGTTTTGGGCTTTTGGCACATTGATTACTTAAGAAAATCACCCTCACAGAAAGGCCTTTGTGAAACTGTTATTAGCATCTCAAACGGAAAAATATCATACATAGAGACATATCGTGCCAAAAATTAACCTCTCCCTTCTGAAAACCTAAAAAGTATACTAAAATAAATACCAGTACACGAGGACTACTACGATGTACTTTACTGGTACCGTTAGTAATGAAGCTCGGTGTAGCCTACTCATACAAAGATGAACATTTATGGCAGTCACTGGGTTAAAACTGAATATTATATTGGAGACTAATATCTCTTCCAGGATATACATATTTTTTAAAATAACGTTGAAGGACTCATTAGAGTTTACAAAAAAAATCCAAAGTGACGGCATTGATTAGAACCCATCACATTTTCGTTCTCATGCAAGTGTTCAAACTTATTTGAACAAGGAGATCTAGGGACAAAAAATTCAGGATGTGAAAGGTCGTGAGTAAAATTCATTTTTACCCATCTCCAAGTGATTTCTCATCTTTTCTTTCGCGAGGAATACCAAGATAAACTTCCAACATGCATGTTTCTTGGGGTGATGATTGCGATAAAAAATCAGTCAACAATTACAGCAAGAGAATATACCCAGTATAAAATGCCCTAGGCAGGCCACGTGAGGGTCTGGAAGCTAGCGACAACACCTCTACTTTAACGCCGAGTTTAGGTGATCCATTCTCGACATACATGCGTGTTCTTGCGCTCGAATGGCGGGAACATGACCTACGAACACTGCACTCGGAACAGGATTATGCATCACCTATCCATCCGGGTTTTGCAGGAACAATAAACCCATGTTAAGAACGGATTCAACCCTACGACTGTATGTTTGATAAATGAGGCACTTGACTCAAAGGATCCTTTTAAAGTATTGTTTGGATTTATAAATGGTATTAACATAATGTCCAAGCAAGCCACTCTAAAAAAAAAAGCCAGCTACACACTCATAAACTTGCGTCGTAACATTCAAACCACGTTATTTGTACTAAACCTTCTGTCCAAAATACCAACCACATATGTGTTCATTTCAATCGACTAGTCCCAACTATTAAAAATTACTTGCGACTATTGAAATTCACTAGTCACCTGAAAATCTATGATCTAAGTAATTAAAAAATGGCCCAATAAAGTTCCTAAAAAACATCTTTATTGGGCCGTTTTTCAATTACTTGGGATCATAGATTTTCAGGTGACTAGTGAATGTCAATAGTCACAATTAAATTTAATTGTTTCCTTTTTGTAGACAAATCACAAAGGATTTTATCAATTCTAACTTACCAAATATGACCTCAACTGTGAAGTTACACGTTTGTGGAATTCCTAATGATTGACCAACAAAATCATAGCGCACCACTGTTGGGCCGATTGGAAAGACGTCCCCAGGGCTGAGCGTACTAGTAGTGCTGACGTCTCCGGTTGACTCTGGTGCCGATGGTGGTGTCCATGTCACAGTCGTGGCTTCCTGAGCTGTGTACGCCACGACGTCCTCAGGGCACTTTACTATTTGTTAATTTGAAAACAGAATGATAGAATCAGAACTGGCTTGGGCCTCATTTTTTTTTGGGGGGGGGGGGGGTAGTGGGGGAGGGGAGTGGGACACAAGGCGAGAGAGCTTCCACGGGCAAGGGTTGACAGAGGTGTCCCTCTCCATTAATTTCACCACAAAGACCACATATAAGTCTTCCCTTTTGACTTCCACACTCCAAGTTATACATGGTTCAAGTTGGTGAGAAGTAACTTTTTTTTGTCAGAATATCTTTATTTCTGGCATTAGATACATAGTGGAAGACTGAGGTGATGAAGCAGAGTTGTAGTTAGAGTCCGTCACAACATCACGACAAACTCTGTACAGGGTGTTGAAAACCAAGATGGGTTGAATAGACATGTAAATGTGGCCAAAAACAGAAGAAAAGTGCCCAACTTGGCAATATTTAACAGTACTTTTCATGCCCATTTCATTATTTCCTAACCCCCTATCCTCAGGACTACCCTGCTAAAATCCAACAGAGTCCAACTGGAGTTTTAACTTCCTGCTCAATCCACTGTGCCTTATTTTCAGTCGTCCGCTGAATCCAACGGAGCCCAACTCGCCTTTATTACATGTATGCGGTTCAGTTGCCTGCTGAATCCAACATTTTGCATTGCTGAGGAATGTACACCAGGGGTTTACTGCTCAATCCAACAGGCCCCATCGGGTATATGATATAGTTGGATCCTGCTGGATTCCGCAGGGTTGGGGTAAAATTAATGTACGTATCTCAAAACGCGAGTTTTGCCACTACAGACTCCTTTTTGCAGAGCGGATCACATATTTGGATATAACATGCACTGTGCCCCAACCCGGTGGAATGACCCAGAACGCTTTTGGCATGAAATATGAACCCCCAAGGGGAAATCAGCTCATGGAAGTTGCTTGCCCTGGTTGAAAAAAAAGTCAACCGTTGCACATGCATCAGTTGTCAACCAAATGGTTCTCGGTCTCTACTTCCCTTTCAAAAAAAAAAAAATCACACAGAGCCATGATGAATACGAAAAGAACAGTCAAATTTACTCTAATAAAAAGTACAATTGAATGTTAAACATTTAAAGTACGAAAAAATATATTTTGGGAAACTATTATTACCTCGCGTGTCAACTGTTACTGTAAAAGAACAAGTGAAATATTCTTCTTGAGATTGTCTTTGCCACTGGTAGGCGACCACAGTGACTCCGAGGACAAACACATCCCCAGGTTGATAGTTTTGATACGACAAGCGGAACTCGGCCTGTTGCTCAGGGACATCAGGCCAAGTGACTGATTTCCGTAGCGTACCAGCATCGGCTAAGGCAGTTACGTCATTTGGGCACGTGATCACTGGAGGGGCATCACCTGATGAAATAATTAAAGTACGAAATTCCAATTTGAATTTAGTAAATAAATAATGGTAGGCCCATATAGTGGTTACTGTTCTTTTGTTTGCTCAAGTTGACTGGAAAAAGGTCAATTTATTTGCCATGTCAACTGATACATTTAGCTTTCTTTCCCCCAAATGGGTTGTTGCCTTGCCCCTCAGACATAGACACCCCCCCCCCCCCCCCCCCCGATAGAGAAGATATCAACAAGTTAGAACAAATATCACCAGATCAGCAATTGAGAAACAACTTCATTCCTAAAATGGGAATTGTTGTAATGTGGTTACATTCCCAAAGATTTCAGCAATATACCAGGCTGAATCGCACGGCACCAACCATAAACCAAGTACGAAAATTGTAATTTCTACTCCGAGAAACTGTTCAAAATTACAAAAAGGGTGTCACTAGAATTTCGAGAAGTCTGCTGAAAAGGTTGACAAGATAACTTTTAAGTGATAAAAACAAAATCATGATCGAAACAAAACAGACTTCTTCTCTTAATTCTAATGACACTATATATTTTTGTTACTTTGAACGGTATCTTGGAGTAGAAAAGACAATTTTCTTACGTATGTTACGGTTGGTGCCATGTCATGCAAATTAGCCCGACTGCATCTGGTCGTACAGTACTATTGCAAGCTCTGTGGTATGGCCATGACAACCATGTAGCTACATTGTATAAGAGACAACCGATGCTTCCCTAAACGCTAAACTCTGATGTAGCGATTTTGCTACAAATTTTGATCGAGATTATCTTTTAATCGATGGACAGAAATTTCCACACTTAAGGTTCCTAGTCATTGAGAAACTCTAACCTTTTTGAACAAACGTTATTTTATCCAAAAATATTCATCCATCTGGCCAAAACACGACGATCAGTCATCAGCTCCCACGAATATCATCCCTAAAATGTTCCTCCATGCAATTTCACAAATGGCAGCCACGTTGTAATGTATATGCGGGTGCGCTTGGGCAAGATTATGAATATGCATTGCAGTTTGTGAGGTTTGTTGGGCACACAGCGTGGCTGGCCATACAAACACAAGGTTATGAACTAAATAATGCATATTCATAATCTTGCCCAAGCGTGCCCGCATAAATGTAACATTACAAGTACAACGCGGCCGCCATTTTGAAATCGCATGGAGGAACATTTTCGGGATGATATATAGGAGCTGATGACTGATCATCGTCTTTTGGCCAGATGGATGAAGATTTTTTGGTGAAAAGAACATTTTGTTTTGAAAAGGTATGAGTTTCTCTTGTACGACTAGGAACCTTAACTTTGGAAACTTCTGTCCTGGATGAGAAGATAATAATCAGTAGCAAAATCGCTACATCAGAGTTTTAGCGTTGAGGGGAGCATAGGTTGTCTGGCCGTACCACAGAGCTTGCGATAGTACTGTACGGCTAGATGCAGTCAACTGACTAATTTGCAAATCAATACGGTTTTGTGCATTCACGGTGCGTCCTGGAGATGGCCATGGTGTTGTTGTCTTCATCGTGCTAACCTATCAAGTCCAACATGTCTCACAACCTAAAAGTGGATTTTCACCAGGGCCCACTACACAATCGCCAAGATTTATATTCCTGACCCAAAATATATTCTTCATTATCCAGGGGACTGTCGAATCTCTCCTACTTACCGATTAATACTGTCACGTTGAAGGTGCAGCTTTCATGACGGCTTTCCCTTTTGCTGAAGGTGTACTGAACTGTTGTCTGTCCTACCACGAAGCTATCCCCTGGGTTGTGTGTGCTGATCACACGGTCCAGATCGCTCGGTGCAGTTGGCGGTGTCCAGAACAGCGTCACTGGATCCCCTGTGTCTGAGTGCGCCAGTATATTGTCTGGGCAAGCCACTGTCTGCAGCTCTGTACAGAGCGGGAAAAAAAAACAATTATTGACAATTCCACGGTAACTGAAATTATGTTTATGTAGATACATGTAGAAGGGGTCTTCCGTCAACTTTTTGATGTTATTCTATTAAGTCGAGGCATTTCCTAACAGACATGACAGCAAGATTGCTTGAAATTAAGTGTGTAAACTACAAAAAGTGCCAACTAAATAAAGTTCTGTTGGTTTAGCAATAAGTTTTGTATTGGTAACTGACGTTACAAAAAGAACCCAAAAATATTTGAATAACTTGCACCAAAAGTGGTGCGGAAATGTGTTTGTTTTTTTCCCCCCAAGCTACTTTTTTCTTCTCCAAATGTCTGCTGATGTTGCAGATGACGCTTCGATCCTCTTAAAACTCACAAAAATACCCTTCAAAGTGGAGCTTGAGGTGACCTCAGTAAGGCCATAAGGCTTGAGAATTCTGCACCCACTTACAATCTCGACCAACATGAACACTCTTCGGGAAATTTGGATAGTCAAGACAAAAATCAGAGAAAACAGCAGCGTCAGACCATAAAGCGACATCGACATCATGCATTATTAAAAAGCGTTTACAGGTTCCAGATACACGACCGCTACCTCAGTCTAGCTTCCAGATGCACAAGTACAAAATTACAACATTGTCTGCAAATGGTGCCCAACTAAATATAGTGCAAAATATATGGGAGCCCAGAGAAGCCACATAAAGCTTATAGGCCTACGCGATCGCAACCCCATCTAAAAACACGTTAAAAGTGTGCAGCAGCAGGATTCCAGTCAAACCAGCGAGTTTGGCGGTTTAGAGACATCATCTTACATTGAAAAAAAAAAACACTTTTTAATTCGCCGACGTGAACAGCCATAGCCATGAGCGTCGGCGAATTAAAAAAGCAGACGAGAAACCAGAGACATTTTTTTTTGGCCTAACTGCATGTATGGAATAGAGGTAACGCAAAGGGGAAAGCAGCTCATGGCAGTTGCATGCCCATCTGAAAGATAAATTATTCGTTGTTGCTATTTTTAGGAAAGTCAACCGTTGCACGTGCATCAGTCATTATCAAGCAAATGGTTCTCGGGACTTTCTTTAAATAAGATACTACAAAGCCATGAAGGAGAAAGAAAAATAAAGTATACTTCAATACAAAATAGGCTAGAATTTAAAACAATTAAAGTAACCAAAAATATATTTTGGGAAACTGTTATTATTACCTTGTGTCTCAACTGTTACAGTAAAAGAACAAGTGAAAAATTCTCCTGCAATTTCAGAATGTCTTTGCCACTGGTAGATGACCACGGTGACTCCCAGGGGAAACATGTCACCAGGGTTATAGTTTCGATTCCACAAGCGGACCTCAGCCTGCGAGGCAGGGACGTCGTCCCAAGTAACTGGTGTCTGTTGCGTACCAGCATCGGCTAAGGCAGTTACATTAGTTGGGCACGTGATCACTGGAGGGGCATCACCTGAAGAACAAAAAAATACGTATGACCATGAAATTCCAAATTTAATTTGGTAAATGACCACAGGTTGTATATAAAATTTTAATTTAAATGTTTGTGTTTGACTGAAGGGAAAGTTGATTTGGAGGTCCTTAAAAAAATGTAATAATTAAGCATCGAAAGATGTGATCAAGTACTTGTACTTCTATGCGGTAAGTTTCAGAATTTGAATCGGCAACTTTAAACATTTTAACGTTGTGTAATTATTGATCTCTTGTTTGCTAAGGTGACTAGACATGCTAGAAGGTACATTTTATTGCCATGCCAACTGACACAGCTTATGGGTTGCTGCCTTGCCCCTCAGACATACAATCCCCCCCCCCCCTTTCATTTAGGGCTGCATTAGAATTGAGAGAAATCTGCTTTGGTTTGAAAAGGTCATTTTTGAATAATAAAAAACACCCTTTCCCATTTAATCTGATCGAAACTAAACAAGGGACCTACACTATACAATCGCAGATTTCTGTTAATTTTACAGAATTTTATTTTGTTATTTTGAACAATATGTTTGAATAGAAATTATGATTTTCGTAAGCATAAAGTTTTACAGTTGGTGACATATCAGGCGCCAATCAATATGGTTTTCTGGAATTTGTACATTCATGGTGCTTCCCAGAGATCCCATGATCTTTTTTTCATCTTCATCTTTGTCTAAAGGTAGCTGGAGTTACCCAGCCCTGAGTTTTATCATTGGGTTGTCTATATCCTAATAGACAACCCAATGATAAAACTCAGGGCTGGGTAACTCCAGCTAACTCGACATAGACTTTGTACACAAACAAATAAAAGAGGTGGGATTTGCATAGCCTTCATTCTTTCTGCATTCACACATACACTCTTGTCGGTTTTAAATGTCGCTAATTACCTGTTTGGCAAGTCCAACAACCTAAAACTTTTAGTTTTCCTTCAGGTCCCATTCACTAGCTACATAACTGCCAAGATATCTACTTCTGACCTAGCCCCATAAATGTGGCCTATTTACTGGACTGCCTCCGTAAACATAGGCCACACATCCACATGTACAAAAATCGTGTCGACGGAGCCAAATTTTGATTTTCATATTTAGGCTTAGTTTGTAGGTTTTTTTTGCTTTAGAAGCATACTCACCCTCTTTATAGGCTAATCAGAAAGTGCTGCCTTTTTCAGATGTATATTTTTCGTGAAATTTCCAGATTCATTTTTACACGTTTGCGTATCAAAATTTCAACATGAAATTTCACAAAAATTAGACATCTGAAAAAGGCAGCACTTTCTGATTAGCCTGTAAAGAGGGTGAGTATGCTTCTAAAGCAAAAAAAACCTACAAACTAAGCCTAAATGTGAAAATCAAAATTTGGCTCCGTCGACACGATTTTTGTACATGTGGATGTGTGGCCTATGTTTACGGAGGCAGTCCAGTAAATAGGCCACATTTATGGGGCTACTTCTGACCCAAAACATAGTCTTCATTGTCCTCGGGACTGTCAAATCTCTGCTACTTACCGATTAATACTGTCACGTTGAAGGTGCAGCTTTCCTGACGGGATCCCAAGCTATCGCTGAAGACGTAAAGAACTATTGTCGATCCTACCCTGAAGCTATCCCCTGGGTTGTGTGTGCCGGTCACAGTGTCCAGACCACTCGGTGCATTTGGCGGTGGCCAGTCCAGCACCACTGGATCCCCAGTGGATGAGTGCGCCAGTATATCATCTGGGCAAGCCACTGTCTGCAGCTCTGTATAAACAAATGTGAAACGGATAATTATCAACAAAATTGTCTTGTACTTTTGTAGGCCTATCGCCTATGGGCGCGTCAGCCCCACTTGTGGCATCTGTATTGCTGCGCTGTACGTTACAGGAACTGTTCCTCCTCAGTTGCTCTTTGGTTATGTCAAGCGCAATTTGAGTCCTCCGCGCAAGTTTAAACTTGTGCGGGCATTAATTTCCTTGCAACAAATTGCGCACGCAAATTTAAACTTGCGCGCTTCAGCTACATAGGTTTTTCCCATGCATGCAAAGCCGCCAAACTATTTTTTTTCCCTGGTAAACACATGCAGATATGTAGCATTATTTTTAAAAGCAGATTTTTCTCCAATTAATAGCACCACAGTGCTTCGTGAGACAATGCCTTAATGCCTTTTTTTGAAACATTTTATTTACGGTATTATGCTAACGAGGTTGACTGTGTGGGTTCAAAGATAAGGGTGAACAAATTATTTATGCACTTTCATGATGTGTATTATTGTTTATGGCTCATTAGGATTTTTGTTTAACAACATATATATATTCATTAATTCGAATTAATTAATAACATTAATAAATCAAATTAATTAATTAAATCATTAATAAATGTGTTTACTTTCTAAAATAATTACCATTTTATATGCATAGCGTTTTTAAGTTAAAGCGCATAAACATTAATATGAATTGAGCTTGCAAGTAAAATAATTGTTTTAAGTAATACATTAAATTAATTAATTAAATTAATAATGAGTTCGTTAATTTTTTTTCATATCATGCATTTTTGAAGGGATGATATTCTTTTACATAAACAACGGGTTACCCCTAGGAAATTATTATTTATTTACATTTAAGAATATAAATAAAACGCTAATTAGTTTTACATATATAAGATTTGAGGCTTTGCATGGTGGGGTATCGGTATCGTTATTACCATGTGGTAATAACTACTGCTTAGAAGATATTAGTTCTGAAAAGAACTTGTCCTGCTTAATATCAACTTTGCTAAGTATTTTTTTTTGTTCTGATAAGAACAGTCCTGCTGTAAGTTCTAAACGAACCGTCTTTGGTCTCAACGTTTCGACTAGCCTGCTCTAGTCATCGTCAGGAGACGAGAGACGAGCAGTCTCCTGACGATGACTAGAGCAGGCTAGTCGAAACGTTGAGACCAAAGACAAGCTCGTTTAGAACTTACAGCAGGACTGTTCTTATCAGAGCAAAAAAAACTACTTAGCAAAATTGATAATAAGCAGGACAAGTTCTTTTCAGAACAAATATCTTCTAAGCAGTAGTTATTACCACATGGTGTTACCGCAAACCGAAACGATAGTTTTACATATGCAAGGCAAAAAACCTCGAAGTTTGTCTCCATTTTTTGTTCACCGTGCTTATCCTAGATCACCGTGCTTGTTGATTGCTTGCCTGGTCCCTTCCCCGCCCCCGCCCCCTAAAAAACTTCTTTGATAAGCACTGCTAAATCTCAATTACATGTATTCTTTTCATTGAAGCTAAATGAATTCCACTTTTTATTTATTTCTTCGATTATTAATTTATTCCATTATTTTTTAATTTATTTCTCCATGTAGGCCTACTTGTGTTTCGAACATTTATTTTTCTTCATCAATGAAAATCCCGCCCGCAAGGTTCTCAAATTGTGATCGTCTTTGCGCAAGTTGTAACGTGCTCACGCAAATTAAAATGCCTCGCGCAAGTTTAAACTTGCGTGCGCAAGTTTAAACTTGCGTGGGGGGGGGGGCTCAAATTGCGCTTGACAGCTACACCACACATCTGGTTTCCCAATCTAATGAGTTTAGTCCGAAACTTGCACACAATATGAGGACTCCTCAAAGATGTCTAACGCGCAGCTGGCGCGCCAGGCGGGCTGACCAGCACCCGGTGAAAACCTTTAGTCTGAGTAACTTGAACCCAACTTATCGCCTTTTTAACTACATTCAGACATGGTCTCGCGATAGTGGGGTCCAAGCTAATCGTAATATGCCGAGCAACACAATTTTGACCAAAAACTTAACATTGCCCAACAAAACATCCAGATTTCACCCTCGAAATGGCCTACAAATTACTAGATGCGCTACCTGAGGCCGGTACAAGTAGACAAAAAGATGGTTGTACTGCACTGCATGCTCAGGGTGACCGTAAGTTAATGCCCAAATACTGCTAAATGCGCTTTAAAAAAACTGCCAAATTCCCCAGAATCACTCGAAATACACTATAAACACTTAAAATCACATGCAGATGTTGTAGTATTGTCTTAATTAAGGTTCAAATTACATTATAAACAATTCATAGTCACATATGTCATGAAATTGCATAAAACGCGGTAAAATTGTGCCACGACGAATTTTTTTGCCGGCTCTAAGTGAAGCTAAGCAAACCTAGCTGTCCATTATGCAAGTGTTTGTTTGGAAAGACTGAAGCTTTTTTAAACAAATGTACCTTTTTTCAAATTTGATATGTATTTCTGCTGAAAATAGCCATTCTTGTAGAATTCTGTCAGAAATCTGCCAAGAAAATCCATTCTGTCAAATTTTCTGTCAAACTTGATTTTTACGAACAATTCTGCCAAATTTAGCCGAAATTCGTATATCGGCTACAACGGTCACCTTGGAACTGCTGAAGTTTACTTAATAATAATACGATCCGGATGAAAAGTGAACCCCCCCGCGATCGTGAACACGTTAAATTTCCGACTCGTGTTATTAAATGTTTGAACGACGCGATGTGGTCTGCATGCCCAGCGCACATACAATCATCACCGTATCCCGAGTGCGATTCCGTTACCGAGCGCGATGCAACGATTATGATAATGATACTGGATCTCGTTTGTAAGCACACATTTCGAACGATTATAGGGAGTCGGGAATTAGGGAAGCTTTTATCAGTTCAAGCTAGTTCCCGACTTCTTTTTACCGTTTTAGTCACGTGACGTAAATTGTAATACAATGTATTACCGGAGGTTACCTGACCTTAACCTCGTCCCCAGTGCTTACTTTATTTCAAACTTATAGGTTCCAACAGTAAGCCCTGCTGATGGCTCCCAATTGTTCCAGTTATAGTTATACTCTATGGTTTAATTAAATCTAATTAGGTTGTCCAATTTTGTTTGGGTTTGATAAAGGTTCACCTTTGTGAAGCCTTTCTCGTTTTTTTTTTTTTCATTTATGTGTGAAAAGAACAGGGGAATATGTGTACCCATGGAAATCATACTCGTACTCGCGCACTATAGTGGAAAAGTACTCGTACTCGTACCGGTAAAAAGTAATTAAGGCAAATTTAGCGGGCCTACACGATACGGGTTTTAATATTGTAAGTCCAGATTTAGAATCGCAATTAAGTTTAATTACATTATCCCCACTTATAACCCGTTGATATCTTTAAGATTATTTTAAATTACTTTGTGGTCCACAGAGACACCCTGTCTCCAGTTGTGTGGTCACACTGGGCTCGGTCGTAGACCTGAGTGTAAAACCACATCCTAGATTCCTAGCATTTACCGTCCTTGGTTTAATTCACTTACAGTTACACACAATCCATTATGTTCCATTCCTGTATTTAATGAGCCCCTCTCCCCCTCAGTCCCCACTTTCCAACCTTCCACTTTCTCCTTTCAAAAGCTCCTTTCACTGTCTCCCCCTCTCTCTCTCTCTCTCTCTCTCTCTGTCAAGCGGTGTTAGTCGGTGCTCTCAATAAACACACCTGACCCTATAATCTTTGTCACGAGTTTTATTCCTTTCATTGAAAGTTTCTTCTCCGTCTTCCGCTCCGGCTACAGTGTACGCGCTACTATAGGAGACATTATCATTCTATACCTCCATGTAACCAAGACTCTAGAAAGACTGGTACACAACCACCACCTATGAAACAAAATCTTATGTGTTACAATATGATCTAATTAATGTGAGAAAAATGGCTCCTACTATATAACTTAAACCATTTAGCAATAAACAATATCACTATATAACGTGAGCAAGTTCAAATTTGTAGGTCAAACATCCGCTGCGGAAACCTTCCATCCACGGTTCAGCATAGATGGAAGGTTTCCGCAGCGGATCATGTTGGCCCATGCTGTATGCTGTAAGCATGCAACCACTTACTAACGTGGATGGAACATTTTCGGTTAATAATTGAAGACGCGTGACGGTTATACTTCATTTCGCATGAAAAACAGTTTTCAGATACAAACAATTAGAAGAATATTCCACATTAAGTACTGCCTTCACCGTCAAACTATAAGGGTCCTTTGGCGACCAACCCCCTCCCCTCCCCGGATATTCCAGGGTATTCATCAGATGGAATTCCATCTTCTGAACATGCATTTTGGTTGCGGATATGCAGTATACCCGCTGCTGTATCAGATTCGAACCAGCCACCCTAGCAAGCTCGGTGGTAGAGTTAAGACGTTTGCCACGCTATAAGCATGGGGTCATGGGTTAGGGTCCCACCAGAGCAGTCTGTGATCCCCCCCCCCCCATCACTCGGGACAACAGTTTTAAGTTTTGTAAGAAAAAAATACGTCTATGAAGGGCAAAAACGAAACAGGGGTCCAAAATATTCTGGTCATTTTCTCTCAATTTGTCCAGGAATTGCCGCCTTTTACTTAGAATTAAAACCCCATTAAATCGCCAAAGGCATTACTAAGTGTGTAGTTTATTGGGGCACAGAATAAAGACTTTAAATATTGCCTTCCCGTGCGGCAATAAGGCGACGGAAATCAGGAGGGTTCCTTTTTCTTTCCGCATCAGTGGAAACAAAATAACAGTGGGCTTCGGGGTACCCGTCCACCAAGTTTCGGGCCATTTCGCGGTGCTGAATCGCGCGCGGCGGGCTTCACCGTGGCTATAAACCAGCCCGTGATTAAGAATTGTAAACAAGCGACAAGTCATGTTTTGGACACAATAATTGAGAGAAATTGACCCGATATGCCGACTGTTTGTAGCCCTGTACATTTTCAATGGACTACCTTTGCTTTTGGCCGCCAAGCCCATTTATGCGCATGCGTGCATAATTATGAATTTATTAGTGAAAAAGGCCCATCAACATCATCGTCGCCATGGATGAGATCGGAACCAGTACCCCACCCCCCCCCCCCAAAAAAAAACCTAAAGTGTTTCAACCATTGTCAAAAAAATATTGTATAGCCGTTCGCAAGATTATTTTTGAATCGCAACCTGGATAGAAAAAAATACATTATACTTGCCTGGTGTAGTGTGGACTGTCGTCGATGGAGTTTGAGTCGGCGGCCGCGGCGGGGCCGTGACTGCAGCGTACCCCAGCCTCATCACAGCAATGAAAGCAATACAGAACAACGCACGAGCATGCATCTTGCTGCAGCGTTGGTAACTATATAATATACCCCGTCGAAACCAAATTTTTACTAAAGTGAAGACTTCATAGTACCATTGTCATCCTTGAAGAAAAATATGCAGATCAGTCACATAATTCTTTTCTCCCCTCGGAGTGCAACTTCCTGTGATTTTCATCATTACACCAGTCAAGGTGGCAGATAGGTCACTAGGATTTCCTGTAAACAAATACCCATGCCACAAAATGGCCATCGTTGGTGGTTGCTGTTTTCCAGGATCTGAATTGTTAGATAGCACTGGCAAAAAGTTCCGGATACTGTTCGCGGATTCATGGTATCCTGCAACAAATACCACTGCTTTCAGCCTAAGCCCCCCCCCCAAAAAAAAAACAGTCCGTCTCTGGTCAGCCGCGCGTCAATTTTAATCATGCTCGTCAACTTTTTTTCTCAAATTGTCCGCGTTGGCTACAACAGCGCCCTCTATTGCCGCACCTCCTCAATTTTTTGTACCAAGGAATCGGGAAATTGCACCAAAGCAAATAATAGAGGGCACCAAGGCAAATTATGGAGGACACCAATGTATATGAAGACACAAAAAGCAAAAAATAGTACTCACCTTGTCTTATTCCTCCATGGTACAATCCAAGCTTGGAAAGAAAAAAAACCCAAAAGAAGAACAAAACCGTGTCGCCGCATCAATTCCGGAATTTTGGTCTGACCAGAGACCGACTTTTTTTTTGGCCTAACATGCGGATATGCACGCGTGCAGGTGGGTTGGTTATCCATTCATTAGAACTTGGGACACTGGGGTGTGTGCGATTTCAATGGGCGCAAGAACCTGGGCACTGGTCCTCGGGAGAATTTCGTGTACAAACCTTATGGGAGCTGTCAAGAAAAAGTTAGTACAAACAAAAGTAAACAAAAGAAGGAAATAGGAAATGGGCAGGTCCTCATTAGTAAACACGAGCTGGGTGTGTGCGTTTGTTAATACAATGTATCACATTTTTTATACATACACTCGATCTCAATTTCATATCAAAATAGAGGCTTATATATAGGGGCGGTTTGGGCGATACGAGTGCACTCTCAACCCATTCCCAGCCTCTCCCAGGCGAGATTTATGAATTTTGACAAATGAATTTTGACAAAGGTGTACCGGTTTTTATTGTAAATCCACTACACTTGTATTATATTTTGAATGGACGTTTAACTGACTTGTAACTGGACCTGTATGTGATGGACTTGTGACGGACTCGATTACAGTAGGCTTATATGTTGTATTGTACTATTTTAACACGCGGTTTGGCTGTGGTGCCATGGTACACATTTCCCCGACGAGCGATCTCTTTTTGAAGGGGGGGGGGGGCAGGCATGGAACCCCCCCCCCCCAAATGGACCCCCTCCAAATCCGCCTGTGGCGTTTATCAGGATACCATGAGGTTTTTCACCCTGCTTTTCCTATTAATGATTTGGCCACCTGCGCTCAAACTGACACAGGATATCGCCTCAAGGCCGAAGTAGCCGCTACGATATGAGCCACGAACCTTGGACATGTTATGTTTTTTTTCCCCAGTAGGTTTACTACGGCCATGACCATGATTGTTCATTTAGTTGAAAGTTTATCATTAATTCATATTCGGGCGGGGAGGGTACTTCAAGGGCCCATGCAATATACATATTTTTTAATGCAATTCTTGGAAGTGCACCTTATTTAAAGGGCCATGCAATGCCCTTTAATTAAAGCAGTTGTTAAAGCATTTTTAAAGCAGTTCTTGAGAATGCACCTTTGTGCCCGGCATTTAAAACTTATTTTCAATTTTTATTTTGTCTTTTTCAAGCCTGTTGTGGTGCCTTTTTGTTTTGTATGCTTACGCGAATTTCCATATTTATGAGCAACAATGTGATGTCATTTTAGCAGAAACCAGTGTTACAGCTATTTCAGCACCAAAAGTTGCCAGAAATGTTCTTTGCTTTGATGATTCGTTGTTGGTGTCAGTACATGGCAGTTAGCCAATGTGCACATTTTTCTGACAAATGTTTTCGATAAGCATATTTTTGGGTTCACAATTTAATTAGAAAACCCCTAAAAGTGAAAAGTGTCTTCCTGAAATGACATCACAGCAACAGCGCCCTCAGTTGTCAGAAGTGCACTTTTCAATCACATAAACAAAAAGGGATGTCAAATATTTTTTCATACATTTAAGGAATTAGAAAGTTGCACAAAATATGTTCCTACAAAAAAATCACTTCATTCCCCTTTAAAAGCCTTTTCAATATTCATGAGTCAAGACACAATACACATCTGTTTATTAAATGCTACAAAGGGAAGCGGACACACTAATCCCCTGCTTTTCGGATTAGCACATCATAAAACATCTATATCAATTGGCTCCAAACTCCATACACAGGTTGAAGCACATGACTTACATGTTTGTATACATGTACATACAGTGTAAAAGACATAACTTTCAAAATTCACTGTGATTTCTCTTTGAATAAAGCAAAAACTTTTTTTCTGCATTTTATTGTGTCATTTCTTCAGGTTCTGATCATAACATACATTTTCTCTATTTTGTCATCTAGAAATAATTGAGGTATTTGTTTCTGTGTTTCTTTATTAGGTAATTCATAGACTTCCCCACTCGAAGCGTCCCTAACAGAAACTGATGTACATGTACTTCAACGACAGGTATGTCAAAAGTGTTTATGGTTCATAACCTTTTTGTACATCACATTTTGCCCTTCATGTTTATTCAAAGGACAAAGACAGCCTGAACATAACCAATCCAGACACATGAAATTACAACATTGAAATTGATTAACTCGCCTTTTATCGGTGGCAACACTACATTGTATAGCACCATAATATACTGTACTCGACTTCTCAGTACGTGTTATGCTGCGCCACAAACCCTCAATTTTCTAAAGAGTTGTGTTTCCTGGTATTAAAACATGCACTGTTTCTTTACTTCAGATAAATAACCACGCAAAATCAAAAGGTCAAAGTTGCATTCATGCCCTCGGAAAATGATGCGGTCATTTTTGGGAACAAAATCTTAAACAAAAAATCCACTGAAATTAAAGGATATTAACTAGACATTGAATTATGTTTGTGTTTGTTTGTATAAATAAATAATTATTATTCCTCCACATATTCCTGGCGACATCTTGAACAGCACAGCTACCTACTCCAACTTCCCCAACACAAGAATCTGAAAGACAAAGAAGACTCTTCCCTGCCATAAATGCATAGGGGTAACATTGCTGATCTTTACAACAACTCCATCACTCCTTTCAATTAACCCTAAAAGGGCCGGGGGCGGCGAATCCGCCCCCCCCCCCTTCAACATTTTCCGTGATAGCCTCTAAAAAAAAATTTTTTGGGGCCCGAGCTGTTATGACTTTTTAGCCTCGAGCTTCGCGCATCTTTTGATACCAAAAACATAAAAATCGGGCCACGGGTTGCCGCGTAGCGAAAGATTTTCCGGGGCTACGCGCCGTGAAAACTGAATTTTCGCAAATGCGTCGTGTACACAGAGCAGAACTGCCATTCGTACATATGAATAATTAATTAGCCATAATTCCAAAACCATTTGACCTATAGTCATGAAATTTCTTGGGTATGTCAAGGAAGAGTTGCTCTATGCATGTATTGAGTTTCAAAATTTTTCGTCACTCGATGGCCGAGATATTAGGGGGGGGGGGCCGAATCCGCCCCCCCCCCCCGGCTGAGAGATGGTCAAAATAACCCGGCCCCTTTAGGGTTAAACCATCGTTTCCTATTCCCAGAGTTCATGATTTGGTTTTAACAACAACATTTGACTGTATGAAATATCATTGCATAAATTGTCTTGACATTTGTGAGTTTTTTCCTCCATTTTTGGGCCTGTTTATAATTGTATAACGTCCAAAAAGTGATATCCATATATTTTTTTGGAAATTTCCTATCCTCGCGTGACAGACTGCACTGGATCACTCCTGTTAAAGCAGGAACCCGGGTATCTTTCAATTTTTTTTCTTCAGGATATCAATCCCCGATTTTAAATAGCCATTTTTATTTGGTGTTATGCAAACACTTATTAGGCTACAAAATCTGAAGTTTGTTTGAAGAACAATTATCGCATGGGATTATGCATACCGCAATCCCCTTTTTCACCCTCCCCCCACGAATTTCCAATTTGAATGTTTTATTCAACGGCAGCAAAGTATTCGTCATATTTTACGAGTCTCAATCCTCTTCAGAAAGTTATTCTGTTGTACGGGCACATGAAAACCATATTATTTGTCTTACTTCCAAAATTTCATTTTCATGAATCAAAGTATTCGATAACAAAGGATCAATATCATTCCCAAATTGCCCTCAAGATAGACTACATTCATGTCTCTTTGATCTACATGTCAAAGTATAGTGCAATTTCTACATTATGCAGTCAATATTACTCATAATATTGTACAGTACCTTTCTTAATTTTCCATTTTTGTAATAAATATGCATGTAACATTTGCTGTTTTACATTTGAAGTTAAAGTTTCTCATTCGTGTCCTTTATTTTGCCTGCAATGAATATAAGTTTGTTTTTATAATGATTACCTCACTCTGCAACCCCCCAAACCATTTTTCCCCATCTAGCGCCCCACCCCCTTGCTGGCCCCTTCTTCCCCTATATTGACCATTACACGATGTTTCATCTACAATACCTGATGTCCTGCACCCTCGCACAATCTCCGCAGGTAACGCGCGCTGTGCATGTACGCGCAAATTCAACATAAGGGCGAGACTAGCCAGTGAAAATAGGACCGCGTACAGCAGAGGGTCTGACGATACGCCGGCGTATCTTTAGAAAGAAAAAAAAATCTAACACAACATATTGACAAGAAATAGGTCCGAGACAACAAAGCTAACATTAATCGAAAGGTTACACGGTACATGTTCTTCAGTTCATTTTCTAACAAGTAACATCAAATTTCAACATTTACTCACTCGCTCGACTACATCCCTGGCCTTCATCCACATTATCACATAGAAGCACACTTGAAATGCTGAAAGCTTGGCAAGTCAAACTTCAAGAAAAACACGTTAGGCCAAAAAAAAAAGTATCTGGTTTCTGGTATGCGCGCGCGTCGCCGTAGCCATGCGCGTCGGCAGATGAAAAAGGTTTTTTTTAAATAAAAGATGATGTCTCAAAACCGCCAAACTCACTGGTTTGACTTGAATCCTGCTGCTGCACAATTTTAACGCGTTTTTAGATGGGGTTATGATCGAGAATA